ATTTAGCTTTAACTTTCAATTGTTTGTATAGAGTACGAGTACTATCGTATTATGTGAAATGGGCATAAAAATGTATAGTCAAATACAAGTATACTGCAGCAGATATATGCATTAAACAATTTTTATAGAAGTTTACGTGTCTAATAATTTTGAAAGGTTGTGTATTTTTGTAAGAGTTCACCATCCTCCGTTAAAGTGGAATAAATTTCAAAGTGAAAACGTGCGTTTTATGTTATCACATTAAATTACCTTCATGTGTGACATTTACATGTACGTGGTGCCTCTACAACCCTGCACCTGCAATACCGTTTAGAGGAACGATGAGGTTTTTTTTACCACTCGCCCAGCTTTAATATATGACGAGAAAAACCAATAGAAAAATAATATACCTATATATATGCAAATAAAAGGTAGGTAACGGCGGCGAGTCCGATGAGTTCGATTTTATGTTAAACCACAGTTGGATAAAAAAATTTAAGGAATGACGTTCTGTTCTGCCGACACGACGCCCGTCAAATTTTTATCGAATGTCGAACTATATACACGACTAAACCATTTCTTTCCACTCGGTATTTCAACCACGGTCGATTCCTTTGCAGTCAGCTGTTGTACGTTTTTGGCGAATTCCAATATCGCCAAGCAACTATTTCACGTCCGCGCACATTTTCCTAAGTATTTACTTCAATTTTAATATAACCCAGTGACGCAACTACAAGGAGTGTTATATCACCCCTCCCCCCCACCGAGAACCTTACGTTTTTCTCTTGGTTAACTTGTATTTTTGTTCATTATTTAGATATAAAAAATGACTAAGACATGTCTTGTAAACATTAGATCGCGTGTTTTCTAGTATATAGGTAAACTTATTGTTAGAAGAATATAGTATATGAAACAATGTCTACCCACTTAGAAGTTAGAACACGGACAAATAATTTAGTTTTATTATATAATAGGTACACTACATATTTTTTAACAATTATTGTGAATGTAAAATAATATAACTTTATATTTATATAATAGCACTATACTTGACAAAATCTTTTTTAGATTCTGAGTGGAACGACGAGTGTATTGATTTTACAAGATATGTGTTTTTTTATTTTTTTTTATTTTTATTTTGTGTCTGTCATAACCTTTCTCAGTAATTTTCAAAAGGGACATGAAAAATTAAGGAAAAGCGGGAAATTTTTACGCAAAATCTGTTTCGAGAAAATCGATTTTGGTTTTTGGTGTAACTCTAAAACAAATGGCCGTAGATACATGCAATTTTTACTGACTGTTTATATTAGCATTTTCTATACACAATGCCTTTTTTAAACATTTTGACTTATTTAGAGCTGTTTAGGGACATTTTCAGTTTCCAATTTTTTTAGTTTTTTGTTCTATAAATATCAATAAAATTTTATTGGTTGGTTAAAAAAGCTTGAAAATTTAATAGAGAGCCTCTAGTATATTGTTTCAAAGGCAGATGAAAAATATTAAAAATCCTTAGTCACAGTTTTCTTTCATAAACATTTAAAGTCCAAAATTGACAAAATATTTAAAAAAAAACACTAAAATTAGCAAATTATTTTAAGTTACGAATTCGTAAAAATTTTTCTTTTTAAATCCAAGATTTTAAAATCTAATACAAAATTCCTTATAAGATTAATTATCTACCTTTATCAAAAAAAAAATGTCTACAAGAAAGTCAAATTAAATTTTTTACGAGCGTTTGAAATTCAAATTTTTACAACATTGGATATTCACTTGATTTCTCATGTAGCAATTTCCTTATTTTGTTGTAATTCAAAAATGAATAACTGTAGATACATGAAAATTTCACTGAATATTTATATTAGCATTTCCTATACACAATACAATTTTGAAAATATTTTGACTCTTTTTGAGCTGTTTACGGACATTTTCAGTTTCCAATTTTTTAGTTCTTTTCTATAAATATCAATAAAGTTTTATCTGTTGGACCAAAAAGTGTAAAAATTTAATACAAGGCTCCTGATATATTGTTACAATATCATTTGAAAAATATTAAAAAAAAATAGGCACAATTTTTTTTTATAAGCATTTAAAGATCGAATTTTGACAAAATTTATCAAATTTAAAATTGAATAATTATTTTGTAGTTAAAAATGTATAAAATGTTCAACTTTTATATCTAAGGATTGAAAATTTAAAACAAGATTCCACGGAAGTAGTTAATTCTGTTACCAAAAAATCTAAAAAATACAGTTTATTTTTATAGTAATTTTAAATTCAAATTGTGAACGAAATTACATAATAAAAAACCTAGAATAAATATTTTAGTTATTTTGTCGTGTTTGTATAATATTGTTCGTGCGTACTTGAAACTTCTAAAGTACACTATTATATATCTATGATAGTATCAGGGTTTGTTGTTGATGTATAACGCGTTATAAGTACTTAATGGATATTGTGATATGATTAATTTGGAATTTATTATAGGTACCTATTATACGTAAATTTTTCTTTAATACCATAGATAAGTATATAATATGTCTTACACCTTGACTGACATACCGTCTCAACTCAGAATCGTTTTTCTTATACAATGATATTATATCATTGAATTCAAATTTAATATCATCCACTATGCAGTGACCCACTTGTAACCTACTGTACAGCAGAACACTTTTTTCATAATATTCTTAGAATGGACTAGTGGCTGGTTGATCCAATACATCCAAATACAGTACCTATATAAAAATAAATATGTGACGAGGTGGAATTTATCTCATTCTGTCAGGCGTGTTGTGCAGGGGGTATCATTTGAAAACGGGTGTGGGTTGTCGGCGGTGAACGTTCGTGTTCGGTGTCTCTCCGTTCATGTTTTTGTTTTATTTGATTTTTAATGATCGTTATTAAAATTTATTCAGATATTGATAAGTCGCGTCATCGACCGCCGCAAACTAGTTAACATGTGGTTGGTTTTCAATTTACAGTTTTTTTATTTCTGGTGTGATATTGTCTAAACATGAGTAAATACCACTAATATTGTCACTCCGCCTGATTTATTTTTTTTTTCTCGACATCTCCCTGAACGGCCTGAACTAAAGGCTGCTGCCTCTCAACTGGATTTTAGTATCTCGATTCCTCTGCTTGAGATTATAGTATTATACAGTGAACTCTGACAATAGTGAATTATAAGCATGACAATACATTGAGGCATATATAATTATTATAAATGTGTGATTTTTTTACTATATAAAATATATTATTATAAACCACTCTTCACAAAATGGTCCTATAAAAAAAAAATAGTTACGTCACTATTATAACTCTAACCGTGTTTATATATAGGATAGTATTAATAGTTATATTCAACCCCACCGCCGATTGCCGAACGTTTCCTACAATTACGGAATATAACGGACGATTCAGTTTAATGAATAACCCTCATAATATATAATCGTGGTGTACTCGTGCACCCTCCTGGCAGTGGTTGAGGTTTTTGAAGCTTTTTGGGCAATAAGTCCTCAAGACAATCGTGAAAAATCCTCTTATCCTCGGGTAAGATTATTAATTCGTTGAAGAAAACCATTCGTCGAAACCGGCCACCGCCAGTCGGTGTCTTTATTCGGGGTGACACTCTTAAGTCGGTATACTTCGGCGCCTCAAGTCGGAGGGATGAGACAGCTTCACATAGGTGAGAAGCAGCCGACCAGCGAAATATGGATAAAGGAGGAAACTCAGTCTGAGCCTTATACTCCCCGTCATCAGGTTAATGAATGAATGTTTGATTTAGATATATCAATATAATATTATTATAATCTTGAACACGTTTTTCATAAACGAATTATAAATAATTTGTATTTTCAATTTATTGTCGATGCCTGCAGAACAGTATGTTTATATATACCTGTGATTTTATACAGATACCTACGCTCATTTTGATCAAATATACCATTTTTTGTAATTTATTGCATGATGGCATGATAAGCCCGCGGGCACAGCCTGCTGCTGCTAACCTGCATTTTAACATTTCTAACACGTCTGCTGTTGTGGCGATTTTTAATTAACTCAGCATAAAAAAAAAATGTTAGTTTTACAGATCACGTGCAAAATATGTCTACCTATAAAAGTATCGGTGTGAATATACGACAATACCGTTACGTAAATAATAATAAACATTGAGATTTTGAAAACCTGTCGTCGCTATTTATAAATGCAGTCGTATTGTGCCTATATAATGGTATGGTATGCAGTAAATGTCCACAACTCACAACTTTAGGTCGTTAGGGAAGTATAACGTCGAAGACTGTTGTACCTACTACAGGTGTCGAGATTGATTTATTTGTATATAACGGGAACAACAAAATATATTTTCGTACTGCCAAAGTTTTTTTTTATATGCAGAAAAGAACCAGTTTGGAAAATTTTGTAACTGAAAAAGTGGAAACCTTTTTTATAAACAGAACCAATATTTTTAGAATACTAAATAGGTATTTTTCCACCTCGTTAATGGCTTTTGCTGTTTTAATTAATTATTTTATTCATAGATTTCATTTAAATTGAAACTTAATAACGGTATTCACCAAAACATACATTTATAATTTCGAAGAACCTAATACCCGCATAACCGAAATTTTTTACTTTCCTACCTATAAACAAAGACAGCGAACCAAAAAAAAGAACCCTCAAGGTCTCTGAGAGACTGTCGTGTACCTACATTCGTACGCGTATCGATGTAAAAATATTTAATATTATTTCATATTATAATATTATCGGGTCAACGCGTGAAAAATGTATAAATTTAATTATATGGTTCTCTGAAATTTAATGGACCGATCATGGACTAAATCATGATTATAAGGTACCATTATAGGTGTGCACTGTGTATTATTCGCAGTTTCGTTTAGTGACCGATAACCCGGTAAAATAATATGTTTAATACCACACTTTGTACAATAATATTATCATGTACGATAATGAGTGATGACGCTTGACTGATGCGAGCGCGCGCGCGTACACGTGTGTTGCAGATGTTGCAGGCAACAACAACCTGACGCGTACCAAGTCGCAATACCACCGCACGCACCCCGGCCGGTTGGTGAACTTCAGCAGTTTTCGCGTGTCCAACCGGCACCAACAACACCCGCAGCAACAGCAGCAGCAGCAACAAAACACGTGCCACGACGGTGCCGGCGGCGGTGCGAGCGCCGCGGTGGCCAGGGCCGTGGCGGCCGGCGGCAGTCGCCTGCTGTCGGCTTCGGCTTTCGGCAACACGCTGCAGCAACACCGGCAGCTGCAGCAACAGAAACGCGACGCGGCAGCGCAACAGCTGCAGCTGCAATGCGAGGGCGGTACGTCGGCGGTTGCGCGAGCCGACTCCCGCAAGAGCCACCGCAAGTCAGCCGCCGGCACCACAGCCTCCGCCGCAGCCGGTACGTCGCTCAGGTACTGCAAGTCGGTGTCGCCCATCGCCGAGAAACCGCCGGCACGCCAAAGCCCGCCCAGGTCGGTGTCCATGAACCTCCAGCCCCGTAACTTCGCGGCGGCCGACTCGTGTCTGAGGTGATGACGACCTGCGGCAGGTGGTGGCGCGGTGGAACAGAGTCCGTAACATATAATATAAGATATTATGTACAGACGGGAGCGAGTGTGTAATTGGGGTGTCCAGGGGTTGCTAAAATACTTGTACACTATTGAAATGTCGATATAAATGTATTATAGCTCTAAAATCACATTAAGTTTACCTACCTACCTTTATGTATAAGAAAAATCGATTTTGCGTGTAAACATGATTTTGTACAACCTACCCAACTAAATATACCTACAGAAATTAATTGGAGCATTAGCGTGTCCTCTCGAGTCCAACACTCCAACCGCTTGTCGTTTGTGGGTGAGTGGGGTGTTTAATACATGTATGTCTATACCTACCTATGGTAATTCATTCGAAAGGATCTAATGGCCAATGGGTCACATGTTTAAGTGAAATAGTCTCATAACTCTCATATACCTAGTAAATTTATCTCCTTGCACATAAAATGTATATATAAATTAAATATTTTGAAATACTCATAGTATCATTAAAGGATTCTAAACCAAACTATCTGAGGACGGAATATCCACGGCCAACATACGAATCTAGAAAAAAAATCACGGTAAAAAAGTTCTGGAAAAAAAGTCAATACCTAGATTAATATCAAAATATGTAGAACATATACTTAATTATAGTACCTAGTTAATAAACCATTGTACATTTGTACTAATAAAAATGTTATCTGTAATATAATACAGTCAATAGGGAATATGCTTAATAAAAACATTTGAGAACATTTATATTTTTAATGTAAAAAGTAATAGGTACCCAGTATACCCATACGCCGAATAGCTTATATACCTACAATTAAAAATAATTTTATCACACTTTTTTCTTTTAATATTATGATTTATTGTCATATAATACACCGGATTTTGTTCAGTTATATTTTTATTGAATATATAGCCAATATAATCACATTTTGTAATCGTTTTTCTATGGTAGGTGTACAAGTTTTCCCAAACTTTATTCTGCTACTCGACTTTCCTACAGAGTCTAAATCCAATTTTACTTCGTTTCTCAGAAATTGAGATTTTCATTTTCCCAATTAATTTCCAAATAGTTATTGGATCTTGGGTGCTATATGTGCACAGATCTTTGCTGCAAACCGGTTACTTCACCATTCAGTCACATTGTTATTGTTAGGTGGCCCCCTACAACTATAGATTAGTCGTTATTAAACATTCCACAAGGAAGGTATAAACATATAGATGGAACTTTGTTTACCAAAATATATTGTTTTAGGACTTTTTTTACCCGAATTTTTTTCTCGCAGACATCAAATAATAGACGATACGGACACGACAATTTATGGACGATCTGTCTAAATTATTGATAAATGTATAAAAATCAAACACTATTTGCGCCTATGGTGATTAATTCTAAATCAATACTTAACAAATTGTTTTAAATTATTGAATATTTTAATAATAATACTAAATACTTACTATAAGTTTTAAAATTGAATGTTCCATCAATAATCAATATCAAAAACATGGAATTAAAAAGCTTGCATAATATTATTTACTACCTATTATTATAAAATACATTTGTATCGAATTAAATTTTAAAATAGGTATTAATTTCTTACAAATATTGATTGCATAAAATTGCGAAAACCCGGACTATTGTTACTACCTATTACACACATAACACATTATATTATACACCGTGATCTGAGCTTGGTGAACTTTGATTATATTATATTGTTTTACAAATTACAATTACCTATATTATTATTAGATATAAATTATTAACTTATAAGTACGACATAAGATCTTCATGAAAAAATTGTTTTTATATGTCCATGGATATTTTGGCTGAATACCCATAAAATGTACCCACATGTTCCTGCATTTTGCATGTCCTTGTAATATGTATTTTTATATACCTACCGCTATATTTTTGTAGTGTTTACTGATTTTGAATGGGTATTTACTAAAAGGGACTTTTTTTTACATTTTTACATTAACTTTTCAAGAGAAACAATCAGTTTTTTTTTAATTTAATGGATAGGTATTTATATTTATATTTACTAGGTACATCATGGGTGATAGGTATAAACTGTAGAACTATTCAGTTATTTTTACCCATGGGTACCTATGGGTATGTAAAATATTAAAATTTGTAAAAATGTCCCTATCACCGACGTCACTTTTGACTTTTGATTACGACTGTTTTTAAAAAAACTAAAGCATTTTTTTATTCACAGAATTAACTTGGCATGTACTTAGTATGCTCATTCCCTTTTTTCTTCGATCATGCAGATATTTAAAATCTGATTTTCAGAATTTTTAAATATAGATTGATACCTACATATTAAGATTACATCTGCTGCAGTGGAGATACAAACTTCGGTCTTTAAAATGAGAACCCACTTTTCTACTATAAATTATTTAGCGGATAATTTCTCTGAACATTTCGACGCAGGTACCTACGTCCTATCCAAATCAAAATTCAAACGTGCAGTATTTGAGTTATTAAACATTGTGTACAAGACATAGATATTAGGTCCATGATACTGGTTTTGTAAAACCATTTATAAGGACTACCTGTTATATCCTTAGTATAAACCACGGATATAGATATACTTTGGTTGCACAACGAGCAATAATATGACGGCGCCAAATGTTCTTATCATTTATTATCTGTTTGGTTACCGTAACTTAGTAGTAGTTGTAGAGGGCACTAGTAAAACGCTATTTTTCGTCAGAATTGTTAAGAACATTCGGCGCCGCTGTGAAAAAATATCCACTAATTAACTTACAGTAAAAATATGGAGGGTTCTTAATAGAAAAACAGACGTTTGTATCACTTACAGATCATTATCCTTAAGTGGGTACAGTGGCGTATATAAAAATAATTTTTGGGGTGGGCTGTAGTAAATAGAAACTAGCAAGCCCACTAGGCCCACCCTCTATATACGCCACTGAATGAGTAATACAAAAAATCTCAAGAATTAAAATATATTAAAATATGAAATATGGCCATATGGGGGTGAGCACTGAGCGTCTGAGCATGGTTGGTGAATCACTCTATATAAAATGTAAAAGTAGGAATATAATGTATAATGACGGATCTTTAAAATGTAAATGAATTAAGATGATGTCAGAGCACTATTTATTTTCTCTCACTGACCCATGCGCAACATAGACAAAACGCATATTTGGGCAGAATCGTTTGTTCTATGTTTTTTAGTATAATCTCAGAGTAAAATCAATCATTACAAAAAAGATAGAGTATAATAGTATTTTTGAGGGAATGGCATATTGATTTGTCTAAATATTGTTTCAAAACAATTTCAACAACATTTAAATTTACAAAATGTTTTTAGATTCTGAGCGAAGCGAAAGAACGTATTGTTTTTACAATGATGTGTGTTTTTTTTCTGTCCGTCAGCATTTCGGATAATAAGCGTGCTTCGATTTTTGAGATCAGCACCTTTTCTGATAGAAAAGTTAGCCTATTTGGTACCTACTTTTGGGAGGTAAAAATTCAAAATTCTAAGTAGTTTTAGAAAGCGTCGAGAAAAACTACCGACAAATTACGAAACTAATTAAGAATTAGAACTAGGTACTGTACCGCAGAGCGGTACCCACTTGTCTATCTTTTGTTTATTTTGAAAGTCAAATACAAAGTCGCAAATAACAATAAAATATAAAATCTATACGTTATTCCCTCTCTATCTTTTTTGTAAAATGATTCTGCGTAAATGCTTTTTGACGTATGTCGCGAGTGGGCCAGAGAGAGAAAACAAATAGTGCACTGACATCTTCTTGAGAACAAATAACCAATGAGGTTATCGTTTTTCTTGAAAAGTTGTGAAAAATATATAAAATATCGTCCACAAATACCCATTCATATTATACCTACATATAAGCACTGTCCCTAACTCAACCTAGTCGTAATGTATAATATTATAATTTATAACATAATATGTAAGAGGCGTGTATATATATCAATATTGTTGCCTAGCCTATTTACTATTAATTATTATTACTATGATTATAGTGTATTAGTATTATTATTATTATTATTATTATGATACTGGGCCAGTGGCGGCGCGAACTATTTTAATGAATGGGACAGCAACATGTCCATTTGATCTATACCCACCCACCCCAAAATTTTTATTAAAATAATACATTTTAACTCACACCTCTAGACAAAACTAGAATTTTATATTTTGGAAGGGGCTATACATATATTTATTTAGTGGCGGTTTTTGAATTTTTTCTGGGGGGGGCGGTCCTTTAATATTAACTTATAATATATTAAGACATAAAATATCCTAACCTAATCGAGCAAATAATAAACCACAGCCTAAACTCAGGACCGGGGGGGATGTACGACAACGCGAGTTAACGCGTTGGAACGCGCCGGAAAGCTGTAAACGCGCGTTATAATACAGCTGCATTCATTATTGTAAACGCGCATTTAACGCTCTTCATGTGAACCTTAGGCTGAAGGCTACATAAATAGCTTTTTTGCATACATGTACATTAACCACTTACCCATCCACCGGTCAACCCACCAGACCACCCACCCCATTTATAGATGGAACACTTGACCCAAAAATTCTGCATCACGCCGCCACTGTACTGGGCTTATATAGACATACCTATTACCGATCATTTACCGCTGTGATAGATTATAGGTACGAACGATTAAAAAGTATTGTCATTTTGTATACCTACCTACCTATACGTAGGGCCAGATTGGTATGTATCGGCCCATCGAGATTTTCACTTCTACACGGCCAAGTTCAATATTCACTGTCCCAAAATTACGTCTAAAATTATTACCAGCTGATAGGTGACCACCAATCGTATTTTAAACATGAATTTTTTTTCACTCACACTCACGACCGGGCCCAAATTTTACGCGGCCCACCGAGATTTTCTCGGTACCTTGCCTAACCAATCCGGTCCTGCCTATACGTCCTACGCACTTATATAATATTATATAACCATATGGGTTACGTATGTTTAGGCACCCATGACGATCGGTTTTCGTCGACGCAGTATATTTTTATTCTGTACAGTTGGCGAAACGACGAAGATTATATTTTATTTATCCTATCCGGCACCCTTTTTTAAATTATTATTTCGTAGTTTCTACCATATTTTCCTAGTTTTAATTCTGTCATGTGATCAAAACCGTGTAAAAAATACGTGTAAGTTTCACATAAGAATATTATAAAATATAATTATTATACCTACCTACATGTCCGCTCGATGCAGGGGCGTCTTCAGGTCAATTCCGTGGGGGGGGGACATTTAGTCTTGACTACCACTTTTAACAATTAAGAAAATTCTTTATCTATTATCAAAAACAGAACATCTCACGACTTACGGGGGGTAATTTCCCCACTCGGACACGCACCTGCCTTGATGGAAGTAATTGAGAAACGTCAGTAGGTACCTACTATAGACCTGCAAAGGCCGTACATTTTCGGCCCTGTCCAAAAAATATTTTGAAAAAAAAGCTCTGGCCCGGTCCGAAAATAATGCTAAGCTCGTAAAAAGTCCGGTCTATAAATTTTATCCTCGATCCCGGTCCGGCCTGGTCAAAGAAATATTGTAAAAAAAAATATAATATTATTATGGTATGTATAAATAGCTTCATTATACCCGTCAATCGATATATTATTATATTCATTGTGATTGTATCTACTATATCTATCCATAGAGTATACTCTATGTGGATCTATCTGTACCAACGTCGGTTTTATCATTATTATTTTAAATTGTGATTATTTACTGTCGAAGAAAAATCCTTGAAAAGCCCGGTCCAACCCTTGATTTTATTTCAAAGGCCCGGCCCGGTCCAATTTCGATACGGGCCGGGCTTTTTAAGGACCGGTTCGGGGGGGGGGGGGCGACTCTTGAAAGATCTTTTATACCTACCTATATATTGCTAAATCGTATCCTGCAATCTTCGCAATTCGCATCAGCTGACATCATTCTCCTACCTGCTATATCCACCCTCGTGGGCTCATTGCCTTTGAATGCTAATGCACGTCCCTCCTCTGTAAATTTATATCGAAATTATTAATTATTATAAGTGTGTTGTTCAATGTTCGTTGTACTATTGTTTATATAAGTATTTAAGGTATTACAATATATTTATTCCCATTTTGTACCGTGTAATTTAACCGACGACCTTTGAATGTGTTTAGTACCTATCTACCTGTATTATTATACTTACCTATGTGTATATTGTGTTGTTTCTATTATTGTAAGATAAACATTATTAACATTTTTAAAACTGTGTTCTCCTGTTTGTCACATTTTTATACAATGTTTTCCGTCCTATGAGTCGTCTGCGATCTGCAGTAATGTTGATCCATGGTCGTGGCGTATAACTATACTTGTGAAACGTGCATTTCGATAAAAATTTACTGGTCTTTTTATTTGCCATTTGGGTTACGGAACAATAAATTGGTAACAATTACATGTTAATAATATTATTGGTAAAAATAATGTAATGAATATTTCTTAAAATAATTAATATTTAATACATAACTTTTTGGTAGGTAGGTACTTAGGGGTGCGACTCGTTTGCGCACATTTACCTTTTTTACGGCACGTTTGCGCACAAAATCACAACTCGTTTGCGCACACATATTTTGGGTTTAAATTATAAAGGTACAACTCATTTGCGCACATTTCACTTTGAGCAGAACAGCACATTTCTCTTCTCACTTTAATATAGGCTTAGGACCATCTGTTTTGTACAGATTAAAAATGTGCATGTCGTGTGTGTCTGTTCTGAATAAATATATAATTATACAATTAATAAGAAGTAATAGTGGTTCTATGCGTGTTTTTAATTTTTAAAATTTTATATTTTTTTATTATTAACTAACCTTACTACATCACTCAAGGAACATTTTTTATTTGTACACCTAAAATGTGTATCACTAGATTTTAAAGTTCGAAATTCTCTTTCAAAAATATCACAAATTTCGATATCCATAGTCACTAGTCAGTAGGTAGTACCGCTTTCTGGAGAACGACTGCTTAAAAATATTATGTTTAATACACGTCGATTATTTTCAATGATGATAATGATATATTGAATATTGATATGCTGATGTACTGATAATCAATTACTTAAGTTAGTCCAAATTTAAAAATATAAAATATGTTATGCAGTGTTAATGTTGTGCGCAAACGAGTCGTCCGTTTTTAGGTTAACGACGGTATTCGTTGTGCGCAAACGAGTCATCGATATCTAGGTAAACAATTTGGATTGTGCGCAAACGAGTTGCACCGGTACTTAGAGTGTTGGTAGGTACCTAGAGATGTTTAATAAATAATAGGTACCTACTGGATAAGCAATCTTATCTATCTAAGTAGGTAGTAAATTAATTTTAACTTAAATTGACCAAAATCCAAGAATCGGTGCGAAAAAAACTTTGATTTTACAGTTACGATTATTATATTTTAGATTCTGAGCTGAGCAATGAATGCATTAATTTTACAATGATGTGTGGTTTTCTTTTGTGTCTGTACACGAGAAGAAGTCAAAATAATATTTCGGTTATCAACTTTTCTAGTAGGAAATTAAATCTAGTTAAAACATTTGAGAAGTAAAAAAAATTTTCCAAAACACTGGGAAAAGCAAGTCAAAATATTTTTTAAATTGAAAGGTTTAAAGAAAATGCTAATATAAGCATTCGGTGAAAATTCCAAGTATCTATAGTTATTATTTTTTGAGTCCCACCAAAAACAAAATTAATTTTGTCAAATACTGATTTTTTGTAAAAATTCATATTTTACAAACTATTTCACCGACGCTTTTGAAAACTACTGGGAATTTTAAATTTTTACGTCTCGAATAAACCAACTAAATTCTCTTTCCAACCAGAAAAGTTACAGAAGTAGAAAATCAAAGTATTACAAATATATAAACGGATTTTTTTGTTATATAGTTACATTTAAATTTTAAGTCTGGAAGGAATTTGATATTTTAATGAAGAATAACGATTTTAAACATTTTATTGTCATTTAAAAATATTATTTGTGGGTACTTGAAACTTTTAAAGTACTTAAACTACTGTATTATATTGTTCACACAATAAAAAAAACCTTTTTTCGATAAAAATTAATTAAATTTTAGTTTAACTTTCTTTTCTTATCATTATTTACAAATAATAAGTCTAGTTCACAATAAATTATAGAAAAATAGAACTTTATTATAATATATTATCTAGTCATAGAATAATAATATAGTGCTTGGGTAAAATAGTTTTCAAATATGATATGTTTTATACAATACACATTAGTGAATTAACTGTATATTGTTTATAGTAATTAAAAACGGTTTCAAATTTTAATCAAATTTTTATTATTTTTTTTTTTTAACATTGTTATATATAATTACAATACACATAATATATAATACACCACGTTACATAATATTATAATAACAGTTAAGATTTATTTAAAAATGCAATTACAATAGGTATTAAAAAAAATATAATTTGTCATTTATTGGGATGTAAAAATAAAATGGTTTAAGATGAAGTAAAAACCAACTCAGGATTGTATCCCAGTTTTAAGAGTTTGAATTTTTAAATGACAATGATTGGTAGTCTGTCATAGCTAATAAGCAGAAAATTGGATTATGGCTACTCGCTAATCAGTCAAAATTGAAAATAGTGAAAAATGGAAAATAAGAAATTTGTTTATGATAAAAATTAAAAAGTCAATAAATTTAACATATCCGGTTTTCAATAATCAATAATCATAAACTAAAAATGTTCAGAAAAAAAAACATTTTTGATGTGGTGGATATTAAATGGAAAAAAAGATTTGTGATAAGTAGCATGGATTTAAAAATATTCTATAGATGTATAATGCCTGTATTCAAAAACAGAGGTTTAATCAATGCATTGTCTATAGAAGTAGTAGTTACAGTTATTTTAATATTTTTTTTGTCTATTTGTCATAATATTATAGTAATATATTAAGTCATATTAATGGAACAAAAAATCAATTATTATAAGAAAAAATGATTTAAAAATCTTGTTATGCGCTGAAAATGGGGCACCTGTTTGCTTCTCGTCCTCCATAACATTGTTCAAAAAATAAACATTAATACATAGATAAATAATTATTTTACACAAATTAATATAATCGGGATAGGTAATAAAAATAAATAATATTAAGAAATATATTTTCATCTAGACAAAATAAAATAATAAATGTCAAGAAATATACATCATAAAATTATTAATTACGTATGTATATGGTGTACACACAATTATGAGACATAATATAAATACATGTGTATATATATATATATTTTTATAACATTGAACTAAAGGCATAGGTTGATATTCTATTATTTCACTCTTCTACAAAGCTCATTTAATCGAATTATTATCTGTTGTTTTCAATTGTATCGTCATCATTCCAATTTCCAACCCTCAGTATCAGATGGCACTGGAGTGACTTCTCTTGTGGGTCTAGGTGGTGTAGATATCGTTTCAGTTCTCTCATTATTATTATTTGATGAATGATGGGAACTTAAGAAACTAATATTGGGGATTTGTCCAATAGGCAACTCTGCAAGACGATGACGGCTCATATAATACTCAATGACCGATGGATTGGTTTCCTTAATTGAAGGTGTTACTTTGGCCACTTTCTTTTTCACCATTGTTAATTTGGTGCGTACCTTAGTTTTTTTAAATGGATACATGTTACGTTTGAATTTTAATGTTTCCCTCATTAATCTTTTAAGAGGGGGAGGCGATAATGGACGACCGACGTCGTCATGGGTTGGAGATGCTGCCAAATTGTCTCCAGGACGGATTCCATCAGCAAAAGTCACACGTTTAGACAAGTTTGAAGTGCGTGTTGGTTTGGTAGACCTAAACACAATAGTAAAGAAAATTTATGTTTTAGTAAATAATTCAGTAGTTATTTAACTTTAATAAGATAAAACGAAACAATAATAACACATTATCAGTACAGTAATAAGTAATAACAAATTAATTAAGAGTATATATTTTATTATTTATTCGTTTTTAAGAAAATTAATTTAATACAATATGTTATATGAATTTTTTTATATTTTGACGATTTCAAGTATTAGCCCTACATAAATTAATGTTAACATAAGGAACAGATTAAAAATGAAATAAAAAGAACAAATTCTTAATATTTAATATTGAAAATAAAATTATAAAGCACACATATATTTTTATTTAATTTTGATTGAAAGCAATTTATAGATTCATTGAACAATCATAGTCAAAAAATTTCAAACACTAACACATCCATAAATATTATATCTGATATATCTGTGTTCTTACCTTGGTTTAGATAGGATACTGTTAGTCGGTGGCTGAAACAGTCCTAAGAATGGATATTTAATGGTCTCCATGTTGTCGCTATAGCGAATCATTATTGTGTCAGGCAGTTTCTCACGAACCTTTTCTTTGGCACGAACTTTTAGTTTCTGAATTAATATCTAAACAATTGACAACGGTCAAATTATTAGTTAAAAATTAATGAATCAAATATACACACAAGTTATTCATAAAAAAAATTGGTTTTTTTATAATGGAATTATAACCATTTTTGTGTTCACAATAATTGTAAGTAAAGAATAATAAAGGTTATAAAGATTATAATTTAATATTGATTTAATACCTTTTGATTAATAATAGTATCCATCATTGTAAGGTCAGCAACAGTAACTTCTTCTTTCATACATAAGCCTACAGAATAATAAATATAACAAAATAAGCTATTAGCAGTATAAAACATTGATTAATTATTATATAATTTAGTATTATTCTTTAATGTAGACAATTGAAAGCAATATTATGTAAAATTTATATTATGTTAAATAAAATTTGAAATGTAATTTTATCAAGTAATAAAATTAGTAAATAATTACCCCAGAAATTTTAAAAATGTTTATAAAATATATAATATGGTATGTGGATATTTTATCACCTCAATAGTCTCAAATATTACAACTATACAAAATATTGTTAAAAAAAAAAATGTTTTTATAATCACTGTATAATGTAAACTCTCTTTGTATATCTATATATTTCCGAGGGGTAAATTTTTACCCAATGCGTGTAAATGACATGTACGACGGGTTAAGTTTACCTATATGATTTTTACCACTTTATTCCAAATTTTTATTATTACCTGCATCATTTCCATAGTTGTTTTCTTTTTCTTCTGACATTACTGAGGCGTTGTCATTGTTTAATTTTTCTACCAAGTCCCCCAAGGCATCATTGTTCTCTGAATTTATTTCTGAAGTTAGATTATTCTCATTAACCTTCAACGTATCATTTTTAATTTCAACATCTAAAACTAATTGTTCCGATGATTTTATACACTCATCAGTTTTTACTAATAAATCAGAATTTTCAGTATTTTTAGAAACATTTGTAGGCGTCACTACATTGATCACATTTTGGTATATGTGTTTATCATCTTTAGTTTCAAGTGGCTTTTGAAAATGATTTTCATTAATATTTTGTTTATTGTTAAATATTTCAACATAAGAATCTGAAAATTCACTTCCATCTGTGTCACATTCCGAGGAACTAGTCACATACTGCTCTTGATTGATAGGACTATCATCATGCTTAATTTTATATTTTTTAAGTATGTATGGTTCATCCAGCCAGCTATTGACATTGTCATGAATGTCGTCAACTATTTCCCATTCACTTTCAATTATATGATCTTCGTTTTCGTTATTGTCATTATCCACATCCTCTTCATGACCAGAATCTGAATCCAAAGAGTCCATCTCGTCATCACTGAACACACCTGATTCAGCATCAGATGGAACATGAAATGGAATTAAATCTGCATGCAACCAATACTCATTTATTGATCCATTTAAGCTTACATTGAAACAATGTCTGACATCATTTCCAACTCCATCACGGCTACATGTATTTACAGATATGTGCACCATACATCTATCCTCAACAGCACAATATGCCATGTAGTTGTCACTGGTGAGATAAAGATTGGTATTATCGTCTTCAAGTATACATACATATGCTCGACCTTGTACAGGTATGGAAATTATATCATCAGATTTTTTATCAGTGTCTGACGACTTTTCTTGAGGTGTCAAAATATCTGGAATATTCACTTTGACATCGTCTGTATTAATTATAACAGGATCACTCAGTGAGTATTTAATTGGATTTTGATTGTAATGTTGAAAATGTTGATGATACAGTTTGACAAATAGTTCATCATGACTTGCACTATCTGGTTTTTCATTTTTGACAATTACCTCCTATAAACAATGTTGTAATTTAGTATTGTTGATGACACTGTTAGAAAAATAATCAAAGCAGGCCATTTTTTTTTTTTTTTGTGATTCTTTACAAGATAAAAGTTAACTCCCTCCAACAAACAATGGGTTTTATTCAGCCAAACATAAAAATATTAAATTATGTTTACTTCTATACTCTGTTCAGCGAGAGACCGCCCCGGCAAGAACTGGTTCCTCAAGCAACACCCTGCCATTGGGGAACCAGTTTCAATAGCTTGGTGACACGGAGAGATGCGCAGAATTGGTGCGTTCTCTCGCTGAACAGAGTGTATGTATAATTTAACTCCAAAAGCCTTATTTCTTAATTCCTAGTCAACTTGCATAAAATTGGAGATCACTTTAGTGAGGGTCGTTTAAAAACAGTTCAATATCGCATCCCTATGTCAATTGTTAAAAATGGAAATTTGAAAGGCAGCCATCATAGGAAGTTAACATGTTAAAATAAAAATCATAAGCATATCTTATCTGGATTAATGTTTAGTAAAAGTAAAGAAATCTGCAGATAATCATGTGTTTTATTTGGAAATTATGATTAAATGATTGACTAATATGAGCTACTAAACAATAATGTGGTTCAAGATAAATTTATACATAATTGATACATATAAATGTGTGATTTGTACAACCTTTTTTTTTTAGTGATTATGACCTGATCTATTTACCTGAGGATTTGAAATAATAGTATCAGTGTTTTCATTTGGTACTTCCTCTTGTGAAGATTCAACTTGATCAACAGAAATATTGTCGGGAGGAAAATGTTCAAAAACATCGATCAACTAAACAATAAATAAAATTGTTAATACACACTACAGTTCATAAAAAACATTGATAAAATAAATTGTTAATCATCTTACGTGTGAAACTGTTTCATCAGTTGTTGGAATTGCTTTTATCATCCCATATTCAGATGTGTCTGTATCTACAGATTTCCACATTTCGTAATCTTCAGTATCGTAATTATAATTAGGATTAAAGTTTTCATACACACTATAGTCAATTGGACTTAGTAAATCATGTTCAATAGTTTTCATTTCAGAATACATAGGTATACCACTATATTGTTCATAAGTTTGAGAATAATCATCATAAACATGAGGATTAATTTCATTATAATCATTCATGCAATTTATTGACATTATTTCACATGTTTGGTTTTGTTCATTATAAAGGTCATCTTCATTGTTAGTTGGAGAACTAGGATCTTTTAGTGCATTAGTTAAGTTGTTTGTTTCAGTTTCATCCTTATACTCATCCTGTTCATTAATAAGCCTCTGTGATTTGCTAATTTTATTATCCATTGGTTGTTTGTCCCAACGCGATTTCTTCTTTAATTGTAATTCTTCAACCCCAGATTTAGAATTGCTTGAATGATGAATTTCAGTAACCGACTTATCCAAATTAATCCAATCTGACGTCCATTGGGTAATTAGTTCATTGTTGGATTTAGTAACTTCTATTAAATCGATGCTAGACCTTTGGGATTCCACAGGATCTGAATCTTTTTTGTCCATTTTAACTGACATAACATCATTTTGTAAACCTTCAGTATTATTATCTAAATTTTGTTTAGAGGAATCAGTAAAATTTGACAAAGTAGTTATTTGTTTCTCTATAATAAAATTGTCATCTTCTAAAGGAAGTACTTCTTCTTTGATTACTGACTCAGAACTACTATTTGTTTCAAATACATTAGATGTAAGTTCCTCAAGTTCTCTAGATTCATTATAATTTGAGAAAGTTTCATTTTTAGTAGATATAATATTTGGTGAGTCATTTTTCAATAAATTTGAATAAAGTTGTTCATTTTCTCCTTCATCACTTGAATGTTCTGATGAATTAGTGCTTGTAATTGGTGATTGGTCTGTATCGGATTCTTCAGAGTCATCCCAATCATAACTATGATCTAATGTTTTGTCATTAGTTTCAATATTGTTTTTAAGTAATTCTTTTTCGGTTACATCCGGGATTTCTATTTGTGTTTTAGGAAAATTATTTGCTTTGGGTTCATCAGACTCTGAAAGGTGTGTTTCATCAATTTTTGGATCATCTACTTTGGGTTCATTAGACTCTGAAAGGTGTGTTTCATCAATTTTTGGATCATCTACTTTGGGTTCATTAGACTCTGAAAGTTGTGTTTCATCAATTTTTGGATCATCTACTTTGGGTTCATCAGACTTTGAAAATTGTGTTTCATTAATTTTTGGATCGTTTACTTTTGGTTCATCTTCATAAGATTTTTTTTCTTCTTTAGTCACTTTAAGATCTTTATCAAATTTAAAATTGTTCGATTTCATTAGGCTAATTGGTGAAGAAAATCCAAATACAAACGGTATATTTTGACAAGATGAAAGCTTCTTTAAATTCATTTTTACTTTGTCCCTATACGATATGGTTTCTGTAACAGGTTTAATAATAGTACAAATAATAGGTGTATTATCATAGGGATCAATTGGTGGTGTGCTTTGGGTTTGTGGTTTAAAATTACTCTTAAGATCTTTATCCGGATTATGCTGTTCACTATTATCATTTTTCAAATATATTGATTGTTGTAAGTCATTTTTAAGTTTAAATATATCATTAGGACACTTGTCAGCAGATTTGTTTGACATTTCATGATTTTCTTCAATACACTTCTCTACTTCTTCATTAGGTTCACTGTCAGAGTTTGTAAAATTGATTAACATTTTTTCTTTAACTATATTTTTTGAAACATTGTCAATTTTATCACTATTGATATTTTTGTTGAGCCTTAACAATTGTTTTTTTCTTTCTTTTTCCACAACGTTTTCTTCTTTAAATACATCAGGCAACTTAGATATTTCACATTTATTTTTACTAATACTTGTAGGAGAATATATATCAATTGAATTAAGGGAATCAGATTTTTTTTGTTTAATGTTTTTATTGCGTTTTCTAGTATCATGTACAGGTGATGTTTTTTTCTTATTTTTTACTTCCGAGTGATGGACGACTCCCCTCCTGGAACTTTTTTTAATTATGTTCCACTCATTGGGTCGCAATTCAAAAAACTGATTTGAATCATTACTTTTATTTTGGATTAATACCTCTACATCTTCAGCCTCTGAAGTATCAGTAGTTTTAGATTTTTTTTTAGACTTTTTTTTAGTCATATATTCATCTGAATCGACAGATTTCTTCTTTTTACTCTTTTTTTTCTTTTCATTATATTTAGGTTTTGAACAACTATCAACTAATCTAGATTTTTTTGGAGTTTCCTCATCATCAGTAATATCTGAGTCATGCTTTCTTTTCAAACTTTTCTTTGATTTTTTATTCTTTTTTTCTTTGTCATTTAAATATTTTAATACTTCAATGACAGTGTCATCGCATGAAAGAGACTGGTTTTTATTTACTTTTTCAGTTTTAACCAATTTTGTAATTGTTTCTTTTAAACAATCCTTAACTTTTTCAAATTTGTCATCATTCTCTTCATTTACCATATTTTTATTTTTTTCGTGTTTCCTTTTCTTTTTTTTCTGTTTAGGTTCTTTACTATCTAAAGGTCTCTTTTTAATTTCAACATTCAATGCTTTTTCGATTAAGTTGAGAATACTACTATTAGCATCTTTTTCATCTTCAGGACTTTTAGTTTTATTCTTATCACCCCTGTGTTTCTTTTTGTAATTTGTTTTGGTTTTTTTTTTCTTCTTATTTTTTGATTTCTTTTTTTTCTTTTTTTCAATTGTAGAGGTTGAATCTGATGATTCAGAATCACTATCATCTGAACTGCTATCACTTTCTGATTCTGAGTCTTGTGAACTTTCACTGGAACTTGATTTATGTCTTCTCTTTTTACTTTCTTTATTCTTAAACGATCTAGACTTTTTACTAGATGATTTTTTCTTACTTTTAAACTTTAAATCAAGAGTAGGTAATTCTTCAATAAATGATCTATCATTTGAATCAGACTCTTCAGCAGCATTTTGTAATGAAACAGATTCTACTGAAGACTTATTGGACATATACTCATCAGACTCGTCTTGCACAGAATCATCATTCAACGATGAAGACTTCATTGATAAGTTGTTTTCATTATCTTTTTGAATAGTTATATTAGTAGCAGGTTCACTTTCCTCCTTATCAACTTTAACAATTTTCAAAAATTCTTCATATTCTGTATTCAATTTAGTGTGTCCTTGTGGTTCTTGAATCTGAACAGGTAGAGCTGGACAAACGTTAACTTCAATTTTTGGTTCGTCTTCTCCAACATCAGAAGCAGTGTCCATGGCTTCTTCTTGGTGGCTTATGTCCAAAGGATTGTTTTCTTCTCTTTGAATTGAGCAGACATTATCATTAGTATTAATTTCTACACTTTGAGTTACTCCAACATACGCTACTTTATTCTCGGCAGCTGGACTACCGTCATAATCACTATCCCATTTGGATGGAACAGTAGGCCTTAATTCAACAAGAGATGTATCATCATTAAATCTAGATTTTTTAGTTCGTTTACTAGTTGTAATTTCATTCATTAATACATCTTCATCTATTTCAATATTTGGATCTTCTTTGACTTGAGTTATAATAAAATTTGTTTTTGGCCACCAACCTTTGAATGGATAAATATTTTTATCTTTCATCATAACTAAAAGTTTTTCGTCTATGTTATTATAGTTATTATCAGTATAGCAGTTTTCTTTGAGCCTAAAAAAAATAATTAATCATTTATAATATAATAAAATTGGCAAACCCAGTGGCATTCAAATAGGGGATAGATCCGGGGTGTTCCGCATGACCTTTTCCCCACATTTATGATCTTGTAAATCAAAAATATAAATCAAATTGTGTATGTTGAGAAATAACCCCCCCCCCCCCTACACACACAGTGATATTCATTTGAACACCACTGGGCCAATATCAACTTGAAATTTACATTAGTTATAGCAATGTGTTTATTATACTGAGGCTACAAAAGAATAACCAAAGCATTGACCAAAACTGATCTGGTAACACGATTTGGTAGCGTTCGGCAATGATTGACAGCTGTGAACGCAATTATAGTAATTGTGTACACGCTGATGGATGATACTAGAGTGGAGAACTCAAGAGTGATAGTGGGAGAAATCGGAACACTGTGATGAAGCGGATTTCAGTCAACAGGCACAAAACTTAGTCATTCTTTTGTGGGCCAGAGTACATGATATTAAATTATTAATTTTAAATCATTATATTTTGTTTTATACTCTTGATCATAATATTAACTCTTAAACATATATTTTACTTTTTTGGTTTCATTGCAGATAAGAACTTGAGTACAATTGCTTCAATTTCTGGAAGAAGTGTGGCTAACATTTGCTGTCTGTTCTGAAGATGATAAGTGGCATTTGCTGGATTTTCACTAAACTTTATGGATGGCTTATTTTTAGTGCATCGAATAATGTAACTGGGGAAATCCTTAGTAAAGTCTCCTTCAAGTGTGTTGACCTCAAGACCCTTAAGAATTTCTTTTTTGCGATCTAATAAGTTGTGGCGTAATTTCTGATCTCCGGTTCCTTTTTCTGTTTCGGAAAGTCTTCAAAATATAGTAATAAAAATAACATAGAAAATCAAAATAAATAACGTGCAAAATAACTAAATTCTATCGTTGGTTGAGATACAGAGAGGAGAATAAACAAAGCTGGCCATTAAAGAGTTGAAAAGTTAATGTTAAGCTGTTTTTAACTGTTACTTAACGAGTTGATTTTTTTCTAATAAAACCTTTAGATTTAAAATGTATTCTACTTTTTATAAATTTTAATATTATATTCATTAGGGCAATTAATTTTTTTGTCAGTGGACATACCTATAACTTATCAGCCAGTACCCACCTACCATCATTAAGAGGATGCTATGTAAACATAATTTGTCTCCGTCTTACAAGTGTTTAACATAGAAAATGTTGCACTCTGCAAACCATGTTTAGCTTCGTTAGTTTAAAAATTAGAGTGAATTGACCTCTTATAAAATTTAAAGGTAGGTTATTATCTAGAGCATCTCATAGACTTTTTGTTATATTTTAATTTTAAAGCGAGTTATGAGTATTTTAAAATTGTAAATTGTTTGTACATTTAAATAATATAAAATACTCATAACTCGCTTTAAAATTAAAATATATCAATAAGCTTGTGGTGTGCCATAGATAACAATCTTACATTCAAATTTTATAAGAGGACAATTCACTCTAATTTTTAAATTAATGGAGCTAAGCATGATCCGCTTAGCGCATAATTCGCCATGTTACGCAATTGTAAGACGGAGACAATAAATGTTAGAGAAGCTTCATCTTAATCATTATGAGTTTTATGAGAGAAGCATACAATATATTTATAACCATTATTGAGAAAACAATAATACAGGGGGCGGCAGTCAAATCCGACGATTTGAAAAAACTTAGATAATGAAATACTTTAAATAATAGTTGTAGCGAGGCCCCTTAACCTTAATATCTAAAAAATACATAAACACAGTTTTTTTTTAAGATATTTTAATTCCTATAGTAATATAATTAATATCATTGAAATATTGAACTAAAATTTAACACACCTACTAGACCCTATGTCACATTAATTTCCAGGGCTAAATTTTGTTGTCAATCCGCCGCTGCTACCATCAATTGATTAATATTTAATATTATACGTGTAATTATTTATATTCAAATAATGAATTTGATTATTATAATATCTAAACAATTAAAAAAGTTTTACCATCACTTTGGAAAGTTATAATCAGATAGAAAAAAAAATAGAATCATGTAGGTAATTCAATTATTTTTTATGGATTTTGTCATTGATTACAGTATTGAAGTATTATAGTACCTGAAGCAATTAAATTGAATATCTAAATTTTGTTTTTTAAATTGAAATACATATAATTTATTACTATGATGTTTATTAAGAGCTTTAACAAAAGGTGTAATTCTTAATTTTGTATGAAAAAAAAGAAACAAAGTTATTTACTTGTAATTCTTACAAGTTAAATAAAAAGAAAAGTAACTTTTAACTCAACTTACATTTGTCTATATTAACTTAACTTAATAAGTTAAAAAAAATTTGTTAATTTGCCCAATATTCAGAATAAATAAACAACTGTCAGTTGTAAAAAAAAAAAAATGAACCATAGGAACTTACATGTTAGATTCATTTTTATCGTTCTTGCTATCAGATCTTGAGTCTCCATGCCTTTTCTTTTTTCTAGACTTCCGCTCTTTATCTTTTATTTGCTCAGCTTCATCCATTTTGAATCTTCTAAATTTGTCGAAATGAAATCCACCCTTGACAAAATCTTTCCAACTTTTGACTTCTAGGGCTCGCATCTTTGGCTTTTCTGTTGATCTTGACCTAGACCTAAACGAAAAATAATGTCACGGCGACATGAATTTTAAGCAGTAATAATTTCGGGTAATTGATATACCTCTATTTAAATGATAATGTAAATATCAAATAGGTACAAAAAGTGCTCAGCGCTTCCTTCATAAAAGTTTATAGAATAATATTGCAGCAATGCTGACGACCCGGGACTTTGTTTTCTGTGGATAATTTTTGCGCTAAATATTTATTATCGGATTTAGTACAGTCTTTGTGCTGAGGAATAAAAATTGGGCAAATAATAACCTGGATTTTGAATGTGAACGACGACGATATTTGTGGCCTCTTCTAGATTCATCTCGACGCCTGTGATGGTGTCTACTTGAGCGCTTATCCTGTTCTCTTATCTTAGCTGAATATTTTTCTGCCAATGACTCTATACCAAGTTTCTGAAGGATTGGAGCTTCATTGCCTAAAATTAAAATTAATTGAACTGAGACTCAACACTAATTTACTTCAGTAAAGTACCCATTAAACTAGATATTATATAAATAAATAAGTATTTTTTTTTTAAAAGGTATATATAAAAACTATAATTTGAACAAAACAAAATATATTTTTAATCTATCAAGTTTATACTAGTAAAAATGTACCTAACAAGATTATAAAATTAATTAGCTAAATGGTAACTGCATATCATGCAAAAATTTCAATTTGATAAGTTAGAAGTTACATTTAATAAAAAGTAACTCTTTACCTATATGTACCTTAGTTAAAAATAACTTAACTTTAACTTTTTAATCAGGATCATGAAACCTAGACAATTTAGTCCTAAAAAAATGATGATGTTTTAATGGGTATTTATTAATTGCTTTTCACTTTGACTGTGATAAAACATAAATAAAAAGAGAATCATTAATAATAATCTACAATGTGAACTATTTTAGGTGGCAAATAGTCAGAAAGAACTATTTTAAAATATTATATTTACCACCACTTCTCAAAAGATGTTGATATAAAGCTGCATTATTTCCTTGTAACAGTTCATCTTTCTTCATTTCTTCAATTTGTTCAATCGTTTGTTGAGCCTTGATAACTTTAGCAACTATAAAATAAATAAAATATTACAAAATTTTTAATTTTTTTAATTTTAGATGAGATAATATCACCAAAACTACCAGAGATTTCAAATTTTGACCGTTATTGAGTTATTACTAGGGAGCGGATACTTATGCTCAAAAAAATTTAAAAATATGCATCAATAACATTTTTATTTAAAATGTATTTTGTTTATTAAAAATTAAAATATATAGGCATAAAATATTCTTAAAATTAAAACTTTAAAAAGAACTGTTGGTAAATTGTTTGTTAATCTGAAAATAATATACATGGGTAATTATTAAAAACCAAGTACTAACTAAGCATGGAATGATTTGAAAATATACCTAATAATTGAGCATTGCACTAGATAATCAATGTTTAAAACAAAATTATGAAGACTTGACGATTTGGAATAAATTTTTGGCATGTTTAAATAAATAGGTATACAACATTATAAAATATGGAAACTCACTTTGGACAAAAACGAAACTAACGAAACGTAGAACACAACTGCAATTACCAAAATTGTTTGATACTGACTCCAGCGACAACGGTGTTTTATATTTATTTTTGTCGCAGGACAATTTAGATAAGGCGATAAGGTGATGAAACAAATTTCTATCTTATTCCGCATTAATTTTGATGTTATTAAAAAATATGATAAATGCATAAACATCTGCTCCCTAGTTATTACATATTACTTAATATACCATCTGAGTACATGAATTTTAAGAGGACATTATGCCAACATGTGTTGTCTCCATCTTACAAGTGCATAACATGGCAAATTTTAAGCTCAACAGAACCCATGTAGCTCTGTTAATTTAAAAATTTAAGTGACCTCTTATAAAATTTAAAGGTAAGATTATTATCTAGGCTACCTCATGGGCTTCTTATTATATTTTTATTTTAAAGAGAGTTATGAGTATTACAATTTTAAATACCAACTCATAACTCGCTTTAAAATTAAAATATAATATAAGCCCAAGAGGTTGCCTAGATCATCATCTTACCTTTGAATTTTATAAGAGATCCATTCACTCTTATTTTTCTGCTGAGCACAAAATTTGCTATGTTATGAACTTGTAAGACAGAGACATCACATACGAGTATCACTTTCTCTTAATACAAAAGCAAATCTCAACAAACATGTATAAATAATAAAATAACGGTAATTAATTTTTATCACTATTTGTAAAAAAAAGTATAATTAGGAAATTTATTGTTTTAAATAAGGTGCAAAAAGAAATATTATAATAATAATATAAAGCTGACAAATATCTAATTTGGTACTTGCTTACCTTTTTTATTAGTAACAACTTTTTTCTTTGTAACAGTTTGAAAAACATTGTGTTCCGGTACAAATTCCACATCATTTCCTTCTCCAATGTCTGAATTCTGATTATCAATAACCGAATTATTTTGTTCTTGTAACTTTTGTTTCATCATTGAAAATGCCATTAGGCGTTTTTTGGCTTGGGATTTACCCAATACCGTTGATGCTTTGGACACTTTCTCAATAGAGTCATCTTTGCCGTTCATTGCAGGTGAGGTTTGCTGTTGATTTACTACCTCATTAATTGTTTCAGTTGATTGCATTTGACTTTGAGGATTAATTTGATAGCTAAGTTGTTGAACCTGACTATTGTATGGTTGCACCTGGGAAATCACAGGTACTCGCTGTTTCTCTGGTGTAATCATAGGCAAGGCTAGGGGGTCAACGGTCTGTTGAATTATATTTTCAATGTTCTCTGGTATGTTTTGTTGCTCCCCAATTAGTTCAGATGTCACAGTTTCAAAAGGGGCAGCATTTGTAGTTTGTGTAGGTTTTTCAATAAGAACATCAGGTTTATAGTTTTCAGATAATCCTCCGGATAATCCTTTTATAGGATCATCATCGTCAGTTTCTGCCGTAGGAGAATATCTGAAACATAAAATACATTTATTATAAGGTATCACTGTATCAGCTATTCAATTATTTTAATATTCAAGATCAATTATAAAATATATATAGTTACCTATTAGAGTCGTCAAATGCAGCGTTTGTTTTATTAGCTGGCTTTTCTTCAACTGGCAATTGTACAGAATCAGGTGGCGGTGGAGGTGGTTTTGATGTTTGGGTTTGATTTGCTTGATTAAAATTATAATTGTAATAATTTTGATATGGTTGATAATATTGTTGACTATTATAATCCCATTGGTATTGAGGATAAGGATAGCCATAATAATTGTTATAGTTGTACATATAATTATTGTAGTTCGCATAGTTTTGCATGTTGTAATCAGCCGGGTTTTGTGCTGCTGGTGGTTGTGGCAATTGTCCATTTTCGCTTTTAGGAAGTGGTGGAAGAGGTGGCAAAGAATTATCGGTTGGAACAATTGTACCCGGTTCAGCAGGAACATTTGCATTTTGAGAACTCACATCAGTTGAGTCTACAGGTATTTGGTTTTCGGAATTACTAATTTGATCTACAATGTTTAAAGGTTCTGCATAATCATTGTTCAACAATACTTTTTCAACTGGCTGACAGTTATTTTCAATGGATGATAGATCTTGTTGGGACGTTTCACATATAGAGTTTTCAGTTGCTTCAGGATTATCCATGATTCTTAAATAAAAAAAAATATATATATACCACCTATATTATAATTTTTTAAATCTAAATCACAACTTTTATATTAATTTTAAGCTCCCTTACTTCATTGTTGAAAATAGACGGTAAAAGCGGTACCAGTTACTAACACAATTTCAATGTCAAAAATATTATAAATTAGTATCTACATTTATTCTACTGCAAAATTTGATTTTTTTGGTAAAATATATATAAATCCTAAGTAGGTTCAATTATTATAAATAGTTTATAATTTCTTGTAATTGCTATATTTAAGCAAATATTTTTTTATACAATTTTGACCAAATTAATCATATGATTATGAATGATCTCAGATTTTAATAGGTTTTGATTATTTCATATCCACTTGTGTTGTCTCCGTCTTACACACATAAAACATGGCAAATGTTTTACTCAGTTTCAATAATGTGCTGTTAGTTTTGATATAAAAGTTAATTGACCTATTATACAATTTAAGGTAAGATTATAATCTATGGCTACACATAGGCTTTAATTAATATTATCATTTTTAAGAAAGTTATGGCCTTTTTGAAACTGTACATTTTAAATGATCATAACTTACTTAAAAATAATAACATCAATAAAATCCTATCTTGAGCCCTAGATAATAATCTTACCTTAAATTTTATAATGTGTCATTTCACTCTATTATCAAAACTAACAGCACACTATGGAAACTGGTAAGCAGAAGAAATTTACTATGTTGTACGTTAGTAAAACAAGGACAACACATGTTTGTACGACGTCCTCTTAAATAAATAGGTACCTATATAAGAATATTACCATATAAAATGTTAATAGATCCTTTATAAGTTTTTAAGAATAGTTGGTTGGTGGTATAATCCCCCCCCCCCTGAATATATATTGGAAAATAAGTCACTAATACTGTTTACAAAGAAGTTTGAATGTTTAATTTATTCAATAGCAAATAGTAAATAAAATAAATACCTACCTAATGAAACTAACACATAGTATGCAGGTACTCCAATAAATACCAACATATTATAATAGATACCTAAAATATTAATTAATATTAAAAAATATTAAACAGATTTCATACAATATCATTAAAATTCATGTATACACTAATAGGTGCTAGGTGCTATTGCCTATTAGGTATGTATTTTTCATACATACAAATTTGAAATTTGACGACTTATACATACCCAGGGCTTGGTTCAAGCCAGGCGCGGATCCAGTAGGGGGCGGTAGGGCCGATTGCTTCCCTCCCCCCCATGTTGGCCGTATTATTTAAATTTAATATTTTGTGTTATCCTATGTAAATGTATTGAAATAATATTCAGTCACAAATCGTCATATTTTATTTTAATAACAGACATTTATAAATTGTTTATAACAATATTATGACCGATTGAGGGACGACGACCATTGACTGCCAGCTAACGCGTGGCTTCTCATAGGGTTTTGTCCTAAAAATATTTCCCATATTCGACTGTCAGTCTAATAAAAAAATATTCATTATAAGTTATAACTAATAAGCAATTATTGCATATTTATAATATACAGGGTGTCCCGTGAGGATTTACTCATTGCGATATCTCCTGAAATAATAGAGATATCGTAATTCTGTTTTCTTATTAACACGTTGACTGCCACGCGGCCCCCGGCGGCCATAATAATATGTATCATTGGTGCGCCAAGCAAATTTTCTGGTGTCATTACAAAGTTGTATATATACTATTGAATTGTATGTTTACTAAAAAATTCAAAAAAAATATTAAAAATATGTTTATTACATCAAAAAAATTGTAATTTTTCCAACTACGCCACGGCGCATTTTTCAGTTCATTATTGTAGCGCCATGGAAAAGCTAATAATATAAATCTAAATTCATTTACGGCAGCCCGCGGCCGTATGGCCTCCTAGGAATGATATGGTGCGGCAGCCGGCGGCCTAAAAATGATCGATACGTAATTATTTTTATGCGGCCGCATGGCAGTCAACGTGTTAAGACTCACAGAGGTAAGCACTACAAATAACTAATTTTTTATTTTTATGTTTTGGTAAAAAAGTTAAAAAAAATATTTTTTTAATTAATTATTTAAAAAATATTGAAGATTGCCATTTTGTAGAGTTCATTTTTCTGAATATATTGACGTTTCAACATTTTAATTTCATTAATTTCCTGATTTTTAATAATTTTTTTAATTAATAAGTATAACGGCAAAAAACCGGTTTTAGTCCGGGCGGCGAGTCCCCCTCTACGGCTAATAGGTAAATCCTCATGGGACACCCTGTATATATAAATATATACTTGTATTTACCCTTTATATTTAGATATTTATAATGTAGGTAGTTTATGTAGGTTTGATCCGCGCCTAGCTCAAGCAAAAATAGTCCACTTGGCAAAATCAAATTTCTCCGCCAATAAAATATTGAGAAGGTAGGTACTAACTATATAAAATTTAGATAATTTTGGTAAAAAACAATTCGTTGCCATAACAGTATAAACATTTATAAATACCCAAAAGAAGGTTAACAAATAAGATCCAGAGCAATAACCACAGATTCAACATTTCCCCCCCAAATCCAATACAGTACTTGTATTGATGATTTATAAATGCACCTTTAAATGCACCAAAGCTTAAATTCTCAAAAGTATTTTATAAACAAAACGAAGGTTTGAAAAATTGGTTAGTTTTGTACAGTTTGTATATTGTAATTTGTAAGTTTCATAAAAATCTATACAATATCTCCAGTTTAGGTTGTATTGATTAATGAATTGTATATAACCTCATGTTGAACATTATGTTAATACTAATCATTTATAGAAAAAAAACGCTGTTTCTTAGGTACAGTTATACCGCAGACTATCAAGAGTGCTGTCTCTGAGTATTGTCTCAGTCTTACAAATGTAAAACCCAGGAAAAACAGTTCAGCGCATGTAAGAATCACTCAAGCTATAGTCCATGCTAAGCAACCAAATTTCCACACTATAAAAAGGAGAACATTGACTGGAACATTGTTTTTATTTTTTCGATATCAAAACTACAAAAAAAGTTTTTCCAGTTCGAAAAACTCAAAAACAACAAATTTTCAAACAATAATAACTTATTTCATAGATATTTGTGATATCAAAAAACCATGTTGCAGTCAATGTTCTTTTCTTTCTAGTGTGAAAATTTGATTGCTTAACATAAACTACAGCTTGAGTGGTACTTACATGCGAAAAACAGTTTTTACTATGTTTTACGTTTGTAAGATGGTGACAAGACATGGAGGTGTAGCGCCCTTTTAAGTATGTACTGATTCTATCACATAATATACAACTATACAAGTCTGAGTCTCCCGTAAATTTCACACTAGCTAACTATAAAAAAAAAAAAAAAATGTGAAAATAAACCTATAACTCTAGGTACCTATAATATATAATTTATATTAAGTACATTTGGGACAAGATACAACAAATCATTTATTTGCATGGTTGATGATTATTGATAATATATCCGACTGAAGAAAGAGCATAAAATTTATATACAAATTTATCAGTATACCAATGTGCACCGTGCACATTGCAACGCCGTGTCAAAATAGGCAATGAGTGGTACATTACTACAGCCTGAACCACCAAAAACAACCAAGCAATGATAATGGCGGGAGACTAAAGATCTTTTGTAGACTTGGTGCCAGGACCTCGGCGAGAATACCAAATGATTTAACCACCTGTCTATTAATTAAGAGTAAACGAAAACCGAGATTTCAGAGAGGAGATTTACCTCTGCGAGGACGACAACGGTTGATATGGAATCTTCGTTTTCGTTCTAACTGATTGAAGATGTCTTCATGGCCTCCACTGAACGACGATTAGACTCGCGCGGGGAACACGCAACACGGTATTGTTATGGTTAGTCCGTAATCCATTGTCGGTGGTGTTCTCTGGTAATGGCAATAGTATTCAATACTAGGTAGGTACAATTACAATTATATTTCAAATAATTCACATTCGTACAATGACCACCGAAAAGGCTCGCGTCAGTTTGGACGTAAAAAATTTGAAACGTACAAATCAAAAAAACCGACACGAAACGTGTGCGAAATATCAAAAGTCAAAAGCGCACACGCCACACGGTAGCCGATAAATTACAATATAATATAATTGTAATTAATAATTATTCGATTGTTCCAACACACACATTATGTTAACATTTTTGATAAATTATAACATATTACATAATATTACTCTTATTATGGGTATAATAAAAATATTAAATGTTCATTAAACAAATAACAAAATACAATTTACAATAGAGCACTATGGCAATAACAAATAACGAGGGGACGCCATTGGCCAATGGTTTTTACTTTTTATTCTTTTTTATTATTACTATTAGTGCGGACCTATAGGTCCCCCGGGTTATCGCCGACTCGGATTGGTGGTGTTGACTGGTTAGTAGGCGATGCGACGAGCGGATTCATAGTCGATCGCAGATCGCAACGTCTTTGTCGACGCGGTTTCCTCCATGAACTTCGGAGGTTCGCACAGTGTTATCAAATCAAGTAGAATCCATCATGGTTTTGTTGTTTTGTAGTGTTTACGTTTTTATTGATGCTAAAATTATGTATTTAATGCGATCCAACATCGGTCTCACATAGGTTTGGCGGACTTTCGTATCGACCGTTGTGTTTGTGTTCGGCGTACGGTGCTCGCCATGTACTCGAAAGGCAAGGGTTCGTCAGTGCCGTCGGACGCACAAGCCAGAGAAAGGTTAGCGCTTTATGTTTACGAATACCTATTGCACACAGGCGCCTCCAAAGCGGCGCAAACGTTCCTCAGCGAGATTCGCTGGGACAAAAACATCACTCTTGGTGAGCCGCCCGGGTTCCTCAGCTCTTGGTGGTGCGTATTTTGGGATCTGTACTGCGCGGCGCCCGAACGCCGTGACAACTGCGAACATTCCAGCGAAGCCAAAACATTCCACGACTATGGTTTCGTAAATCCGACCAATTACAACCCCGGTGGCGTCAATGGCATTGGACACAACACTGGACCGTCCCCAGGGCCGATGGGCCCGATGCCACCCAACAATTCAATCCCTCCCGGACCCGGAATGCCTCCAAGTTTTTTCAACAACTCAAACATGAGACCGTCACCCACTCATCCTGTATCACAATCAAGCCCTCATCCGCCACCCAATGCTCCCCACAATCAAATGATGAATCAGCCTTTCATGGGCCCTAGGTATCCTGGTGGACCTCGGCCCGGTGTAAGAATGCCACCTCATATGCCTAATGATTTTAATAGCCCAAACCAACCCATGATGAATAATATGGATATTATGCGTCCTGGACCGCCAGTAATGAATCCTAGAATGAATCTATCGCGGGGTGGCTATGGACCTCCAATGCGAGGAATGCCTCCTGGTAATGTTATGGGCCCCGGCCCTGGCCCTGGAATGCATCCTGGCATGGGCATGGGTCCAGTTGGTCGACCTCAATGGACACCGGGTAATCCAAATCATCCGATGGGTTATTCATCTTCATCACCTGGAAATTACCCTCAAGGCCCCCCCGGTCCTGGTACACCATTGATGGCGAGTCCTCAAGATTCAAACTCTGGTGGTGAAAATATGTACACAATGATGAAATCTGTACCTGGCGGTAGTATGCCAGGTGAATTTTCAATGGGAAATCCTGACTCTGCAGGACCATTAGGTCCAATGGGACCAAATTCAATGGGACCTGTAATGAATGGTGATGGTATTGAAGGTATAAAACGATCTCCACCTGATGGGCCGAGCACACCAAGAGATGATAGTGGTAGCGGTATGGGTGATTATAACCTAGGAGGATATGGCGGACCTGTGGACAACGATCAAAATGAATCTGCGGCAATATTGAAAATTAAAGAAAGTATGCAGGAAGAAGCAAAAAGGTTTGAAAAAGATTCTGACCACCCAGAGTATTACATACCATAAAAGTTGCAGGCATTTTAAAAGCAACTCATCATCTCTGGTATTTAGAAAAAATTCTTGCCAAAATGTATGTATATTTATATTATTACTTATTATTTATCACTTAAAGGTTTAAAGATTACTTAATATCATTGTAAATAGTTCCCAGCGTGTCATGTGAAAACGCTGTCAATATTATGTGCTTCTTGTATTTTGTTATTTCTTTTATAGTGTTTTAAGACATTTCTGTGGATCACCTTTAATCTTGTACCTATGTTGTATTTTAGACTATCGGAATTTAGATTTATAACTTATGTAACCAAAGGAGTATTTCATAAATATCCATTTTGGGCCTACAGCTAATTACCATTATTGCAATGCAAGTTATTATAATTTGTCCCCTATGGAAAAATGGACATAATATTTATTTCAATACTTAATCGATATTTTGAATAAGAAAAAACATTAACTTACACCAAGCAAACTGTTTATTGATTATAAACAATTACCTATTAAAAACAGCATTTATAATCAACAATAAACATTAATGCATTACAAATATAGTTCTCCTCTAAATAATAATATATAAATTAAAAATAGCTAAATTTACCATTTGGTATTTTTGATCTTATTATTAAAATTATGTTAATTTTTTTAAAGTTGATAAATATTAAGTATGAATTTACTTAATAGTTGTAAATGCAATAAAGTTTTTCATATTTTTTTTTATTCTGAGGAACATAGCTGTAAACACTGAAATTATTGTTGAAGTTTCAATCCAAAAATGCTTACCGTGTACACTGTACATGGTTTAAAAAGAAATTTAGTGTTTTCATGCTCGTTCTGTAAGAAAATTGCAAGTGATGAGAGTTTAATTTATTTTTATCAAATATTGATATTCGTTTTGTGATGACATGTGCTTAAACCTTGCATAATGTCTCTTTTTGCATACCTACAAATTTATATGATAATCAGTAATCTCTAATTAGTAAAATAACTTAAAAATATCCTTGAAATTTTTGGTTGGGATACCAGTTAAATTAAACAATTAGAGGGTTATATTCAGATTTATTATACCCATAATTTTAATTAATTTTAAATTATTACACACTTTATTTATTTTTGTTTGAAATGTATGTATAAGACGAGGGAAATGAGAAAGATGCAAGATGATTCTCTTATAGACTCATCACATTATCCTAGAGTGTACCATAAATTTATATTGTATATTAATTTTAACATTTAATCTATTTTTAAACCATTTTCGTCTTTGTGTATGTATGTTGCTGACTTAGTGAGAGGACAACTTAAAATTTGTTGTTTAATTTGCATGAATTTTTTTTTTAAGAATTATGTAAAACGCTCTACTGCGTTCTAATATTGTTCTTATTTAGTGTTATAAAATATTGTTCTTAATGTTTATTCTACATAGTGTGACTATATTTTCCCAACCAAACCCTGTCCATAAATATTTTCTTCTTAAAGCTTGATGCAAATAATTGATTAATTTTTTTTTTTTTAATTAGTTAAGGTAATATCTAAGTATTCAATATTTGTATAGTATTAAAAGTAGTATAGACATTATTATTTATTATACTGATATAAAAATAAAATATATAGTTTGGCTCAAATGTTTAAAGCGCTTTAAATATACGCGCAGATAATTTTGAATTACCTATTATTAAGTAAAATTCATGCTTTAATTATGACTTCCAATTTGAACGAAAAATTCTATTAACATTTATTTTACATTCTTTTTCATGTGCATTCATCAATATTTTGATACTTCCAGTTTTGTACCTTGGATGTTCTTTCTTTCTTCCGTTTTAAATTAATAATTTCCCATACTTTTTTTGTTTAAGACTCTTTTGAAACAAACTAAATAATTTCAAACATTAATCAGAATATATATACATCTGTTAAAAAATATAATTTGGTGTCAACATTTTATGTCAAGTATTGTAAAGTAAATCAAAAAATTAAATATGGTTATTTAAAATTGTATTGTTAATTTTCAAGAACCTCAATAGCATATATCATTATGTATCATTATGGTCTTATATCAATATTATAATTAGACAAAAATATGTTGTCAAATAAGAGGATCTATATTGCTTTATTGTATATAATATTGATGTGTACATATAGGCTGTGGATAAAAAATAATATTTAGACAATTATTAAAAAAAAAAATTAAAGCAATCTACCTACTTATTGTTAATCATACAAACCTATTTACATTTTAAGGTAATCTAGAAAAATATGTACGTAACATATAGTATATATTATTGACAAATCCAAAATAATTCTTTCCTTTTTTTCATTTTTATCCCCTTGATCAATCTCTAGTCTTTTTGCCTTTATCTTCTTAGAGTTATTTAAAAATGAAAAATAAAGAAAAAGATTATATATACATACACGTATTATATACCCATTCAGGTATATAATATTATACGTTAAGTCAATTAAGTATACAATTATTGTTATAAAAACAAAAATATTATTTATCTTAGTTTCTTTAAAAGATTGTTTGTGTTTCGACGTTTAGGTCCTATTATTTTCCTTATTATAATGAAATTTAATTCTAATAAATATAATATATAATATAATATTATTATATAGTTTACAAAAAAAATAATCATTGTCTATCTTATTGATACCTATTTAACTGAGAAAAAAATACTTCAACCTCAATATATTTGCCTCCATGAAATCATATTGAGAAATAAATATTGAATTTATTCAAACGTTGAATGATCTCACTTTATAGTGAAAATACATAAATTCAAATAAATTGGTGCTCCTTGTTCTTCAGATTATTACAGCACGTAGGAGAATTTATTAAAAAATATTATGTTGCACCATACAACAAAGGTCAAAAGGCAAGAAATGAGATTTCATGACTTCTTATTGTTATGGTTTATGAACTATAATGTCAATTAATATGACTTATCTAAGTGATAAGTGTTCTTCAAACAATAAAACGTCTGGGGTATAGTGATTACCTACCTAACAGTGAAATTATGGAATGGTAATTAGGAAATTATTATATTAGAAAGCACATTTTTTAATGTGAAATAATTATTTATTCTATGATGAATACCATTCAAAATATTTTCAAGGCGAAATTGAATAACGTCTTTGGGATGATTCATGTTAAACCATTACCAGGTAAGAGTGTAGAAGTACACAGCAACAGATACATTTCACTATTGCCGTTAGATAAAATTTGATTACTGTATTTTAAACTTTGAATAATGATATTCAGGCACACCGTTGCATGATAGAAGCATTAAACAAATAGTATACGCTGCCTGCAAAGAAGCTGAGATATATATGAAATGTGGTGTAGTAAGCATTCAACAGTTATACTTAAAGAAATTCTACATCCTCATGTGTTGTCTCTGTCGTATAAACATATCACACTTTAGACAAGAGACAGTTTAACTGTACGTTCTGAACAATTATATTAACTCTGTTATGTTAAATGTAAAAGCAAATTAACCTAGTATGAAATTTAAAGTAAGACTATTGTCTAGTGATCTATGTTGTTTTTATATATTTTAATTTTAAAGCGATTTATGAGTAGTTTCAAATTGTAAATTGTTTGTACATCTCAAATTCTGAAAATACTCATAACTCACTTTAAAATTAAAATGTAAAAGTACCTAAGAGATTCACTTTATAATATTCTTACCTCTAAATTTCATAATAGTTAAATGGATTCAGAGTATACACTTTGCCATGTTGTGTTTGTAAAACGCATAGACGTAGCGTTAAGATTTTTTTTTTTTTGCGGTATGTCAGAACTTCTTGTGAATTACTTCGTAAAAGGGCTATAATGATTCGGATTCAGAACATAATATCCTACAAATATAACTATAGAAAAATGTAAAGAAAATATGTATAAAAAGGACTATAGATGCCCATTTTAAAGTAAAATATAAATAAATAATATATTACCATACATCATATTATTATCAAATACAAAATATGTATTTGAATTAAATATTTAAAAAAAACATTTTAAATTGGAAATTATTACTATAGTATAAGGTTTAAATTCCTACTTTTTTGGGCAAATATATTAAGAATATCTTCAGAATTAATAATATTAGCTAAGTCCCTTTCAATACGCAGTAACGATAGATTTGAAAATCTATCGTCGGTCATAGAATTTCTAAGCTGTTTTTATTAGCTATAATAAAAGAAATTTTTTTCAGTTCTCACATAATATGAATGTATAAAAATAAAACTGTAAACTTTTACACAGGGGGCTAAACAGATTTCCGGGGGGTCATAGCCCCACCATTCAACGCCTATGGTAAGACGGATACAACACATGCTAGTATAGTGTCCTCTTAAGACAGTGCCCAATACAATAATGTTATAACTATCAATTGTCATCAACTATAGGACGGAATTGTTGTTGAAAATATGCATGATATACCATATATGCCTGCCAAAGAAATAGGTCCAGAAATTGTGTCCTCAATGACTAGAATTTGTACAGCAGTTAGACAATTGGTACCTGAACACATCCCTTGTGGTCTGCAAGTGGGTTAGAATTATTACTGTTGTACGGCATTTACTGATTTGTCAAAAACGACTTTAGATATTGGCTGCAGCCAATGAAGAAGCAATCGCTGTTGCACATACAACAGACTTCCAGTTTATTAGGGCTGAAGGTTTTGTTTTTGGCCATGTCGCTGATGAAGGTTACATGGATGCATGTGCTGGTAAGTTATTGAGGTATCGCAAATCAATAGGAGCACAAGATGTGTGTATATTTACAGATGTAAAAAAAAAACACAGGTAATTTCTTTGTACTATCATGTTTATTTAACTAAATCAAATATCTTCAAACTGTAAAGATCAAGAATCTTTTGGTCCAACAAAATATATTATTTGGTTCTTGTCATTACTCATAGTTCACATGCCATTACTCAAGATGTAAGTCTAATAGAAACCGCCAAAGCTGCAGAATTCTTTCTGACTGATGGAATTATAGTGACTGGAACTGCAACAGGACAACCCGCCAAACCACATGATGTTACTGGTATGAAATTATAATATATTTTATTTTTACATGAACATAGAACATTGTACCCATTGCATATAATATTAAATTTAACCAATTTACAATTATGTTTTGTAGAAGTTAAAAACTCTGTGGATGTGCCAGTACTTGTTGGATCTGGTGTAACAGTAAACAATGTACACGAGTACAGAGGTGTGGACGGATTCATAATTGGATCTCACTTCAAGAAACATGGCATGTATGAGAATATATTTTCTTATTTCAAAGCTCAAACAACAATAATTATACATAGGTAAATAATATTTGACAACTTTTGTTAACAGGTGGCAAAATGAACTCGTTGACACTGTTATTTTAGAATTTATGAATCGCCTAAGAAATGACTGAAATAAAGAAACTTGATTTATTCATTATAGAATGGAAGTTATCGTTTATTTGATTACATGAAGAACATTTTGATTATAGGCCATTAACGTAATATGTTATGGTCTTCATTTTTATAATATGGTATACCTAAGTAATAAGTATTGTACAAAAAAAATAATAAACTAATAACTAGTTACATGTTTTTAATAAAAATAAATTAAGTAGTAAAAAAATATAATTGTTATACTTACAATACAAACTTTTATAAATGTGAAAAATATTCAAATTTAAAAATAATTATCATATTACAAATTTAACTTAAGTAATATATGTTACTACATTAGGAAACATTACCTCTTAAGACATTATTCAAATATGATTAGTTAATTGTTACCAACTACATTCAAACAAAATTGGACAACATAACTGAGATCGGAAATGGATGGAGCACAAAAAAATTATAAGTTAAAAAAATAATTATTTCCATTTTTGATTTTCTATACCGAATTTCTTCCCACTAATTTTTTTAATGTTGATCCAAAACTGAATACGAGATTTCTTGCTGAAGCCATATATGACATATTTTGATTTGACCTAACAATTGTTGAATCCTAGAAAAAATTTTATTATGAGAAAGGTGTACTATTAGAGCAGCGGTTCCCAACCTGGGAGTAATTACCCCCTAAGGGGTAAAAACACGATTTTTTTGGGGGGTAAAAGTTAAACTTGTATTTTAAGTACTTATTATCCATTTACTCATGTGTATTATGACTGTAATATTGTTGTTAATAGTTTTGGGAAATACCTTATCTTATGTCCTAATGACATTGATAATTTTATTATCTTCAAATAATACTTAGAGTCTTAGAATATTACATTATATTGAATTTCCTGGAATTATTTTTGTTGTACAATTGTCTACACATTTTATATATTTTATATTTTATACATTTTAATTATTATCATAATATTATTTTGTTTTGTTTTTTTTTATCAAACCTTTTTTTTTGGGTCGGGGGTATATGTTAATATCTAACCTGACTTATGGGTAATAGTCTCAAAAAGGTTAGGAACCGCTGCTATAGAGTATAATTAATATATTATACCTAAGTATAATTTTTTAATTTTTTAAAAAAAAATGTTTGACTATTTAATATTATATTAAGACTATTTACCGATTTCATTTTTTTAGTCGGACTTGAATAACAATTCTCATCAGTTTTATTTGTGTTGTTCTCCTTTTTTCTTTTGACCAATTTCAAAGGACCACATCTCTTTACTGGCATCAAAGAGTTGGCTTTGCACTAAAATAAAATCATTTTTACAACAAAAACATAGTTAATTATCAATAATGCATATAATTAAAATACTTTGTCAATAGATTGCTGCAACATTTCTACCCAAGAACATGTGGCATGAGGTGCGTCCATTGTGTAAAATACAAATTCCACAGACTGACAGTTTATTGAAAACAGTCCTCTTTTGTACATGACAGATTTGGCTTCACACTTATTGAGTGGCAATACTCTGAGACAAACCAACTTTTCTGGATCCACCCACTCTTTACAATATAGTATCATGTCACTAAGCAATATCAAGTAACGGGGAATAGATGTGCTACCCTCGGGTGACACTTTCATAAGAGGCCCTTCTTTAATTAATTTACGTCCTGGTAGTACAATGTTCACTTTGCCACAACCAGAAAGACTACGTTGGATGCTCACTAATCTGGACATGTTTTCTTGTTCTTGAACTAAGTTGTTGATATGGTCTGCGACTTTACTTATTTGTTCTACAGCAGCTTTAAATTAATAATATTTATAAAAATTACTAAGCAATGAAATAATATTCAAATATTTAACTTAACTAAATATGTTTCCATTAATGTAATTACATACCTTTAATATCATTATAACCTTCATGTTCAGTAGGCGTATAGTTCTGAAGTTCGCGTAAAAGCATAAGATAACGAGGTATTCTTTGAATGGGAGTTATCAAGAGTGAATTCAACTTAGCAGATACATCTGGCCTTGATTCTTGTGTACATACAAAGCGATAGAGTTTTGGATGAGATTTTGGTAAGTCCTAAAAGAGAATACAATTAGTTTTTAAATTGATTAAAACATAAAAAAATATTTTTACTTGAAGTGTTTCCAATACATTCTTGTAATTGAATGCGTAAACTGAATAAAGTTTAAGAAATGGAGCAGTGTTCAAGAAAACTTGTCCAATATTTTCTTTTGCCGGATGTAATTGAACCAATAGTTCTTTATTCACGTTCAGTATTGTCTCAACATTGCCAAACAATTTACCTATGACTTGACTTGAGGCAAGTTTCTGTTCTTCCATTGGGCGTTTAAAATACTGTAACCATACTTAGTTAAAACAATCTGATGGCATAAAATATAAGAACGATGTAGTCTCAAACGGACTTACTGCTATCAACTTGTCCAACTGGTGGATATAGTTTGTTTCTGAGACACATATCTCTTGAATGGATCGAATCCTCAACTTTGCTATGCGTTTCTCATTATCATCACAAATATGTTGGTCCAAGTCCCTCAGCACTATGTACGACAACAAAAAGATTTAAGTAAGCAAAGAATCAATGTAAGTTAACGGGTACCTATTTCGGTTTTACCTTTTTGTTTCGTTTTGGCCGAAAGTATGTTCTGTTGATCCAACACTACCCGCAGTTCTTTGACAAAATGATTCGGAGGCGTCATAGGCACAAACGAATTCATTTCGTCCATTTTTTAATTATTTAAATCTGTCGAACAGGATGAATCAAAACGGCGGGAGACGGATCACTGAAACTGAATAGATTATTGAAAATATTCTAAATAGATCTAAGATTGAACTTGTGATCATATGATAATATAATTTAATGGGAAAACTGAACAAATCGTCATCACTTGCCAGCCATCATCTCAATTCTTATAATCAGCCGCGGAGGCAATCGGCATTCGAATTAATTACGACGCTTTTCGGAAACGTAGAAAAAGTACGTTACGACTGTACCAGTGTGACCAGATTGATGAACAAACCGTTGTCGATTAAAGTACAGAGTTTGTTGCTTTTGTGAAAAATTCTGAAACTTGAGAAAATTCAAAATAGTCCAACTGTCTAGTGTCTTTACTCTTCACGGTCCTGTCAAAATATGTCAATATTATTGTCTCATCCAAAATTATCTTACGAGTTTCGATCATTATTCGTCACGTTTTCATCCTTCATAAACGACCGAAAAATCACAAAATTCGAACGACTATTATCGGTTTGCCACACTGTTTTCTTCGATTCAAAGAGGTAACGTCCTCGTCGGTGTATGCACTGTGCGCTCCCAGATGATAAGTTCATTCCAGATGGCGATTAATGATTAATCCACATTCCATGACGTTTTTAAAAATAACCGTCGTCGGCCGCGGAGAGTAGGGACATAGGGTTCAGATTCTTAATAATTTAATTCAGTATTGAAGTATTCTGCTTTCTGCTAATTTCTTTGTTCATTATTGTCAAGTTGACGTTATAGTATTAAACGAGTGTTCTGTATTTGAGTATTTTCTGACTCAAGTTCTTTAGCATGTATCAATAATCGGCGTACGCGCTTTTCCTCGATTTCCCGAGATCCTTATTTACAATATCACGTCTTCCGGCTAGTTTATTTTTAGTTTTAATCAAACATGAGTAGTTTTGCACTCAAGTCGAAAGAAAACAGAATACAGAGACCTCGGCCTCCACCGGTAACCGCCGTGGCCTCTAATACGGCTTCGTCCGCTCCCCGTCGCACCGTGGGTTTCGGTACGACCACGAACACCGTCACGGTTGCAAAACCGAATGGTGCGCAATACCGTCGATCCGTGTCCACGGCTATTAGCAAGACACCGGACCTACTACACCCTCCCAAGTTTGGTGGCCAACAGCTCTCCAACCGCAGTTGCAAGCCGGACATCACTAAAAATCTGCCCTCCAAAACTGTTCAGAAACCTGCACCGTCACAGCCGTGTGAACCATTGGCCCAGTCAAGGTGAGATGCTTATTGATGTAACTACCTGTGGATGTGAGTGATCTTGTTTTGGTGACAGAATGATGTAAATCTGGAAGTCTAAGGAAAGATGTGTGGTTTTAAAATATCACAGTGTACTTGGCAGTTGCATATCCCTAAATACAGTGTAGGTACTACGTTTTTTTGACAAACATCGAGAAATTTCAGACTTAACCCACTATTCGATATATTGAATCAGTCACTATGCATGATACCTAGAGGTCTTCTAGTACTCAATATATATATTCACTTATGCATTAAAAAACATTCTTTTTTTTCTAAAAAAATGTAATACTTACCTATATAAAATATGGTATCTAAATTGTAATATTTCTTAAATATTTAAAATGCTATTTTAATTAATTGATAAAACCTTGAAAAATGAATTGTACAATAATCAAATAACAGTTCTTATGCAATAAAATATAAATTATGACGAACAAGTGGACAACTAGAGTTTACTTCCTATATACAGGTCCTTGACAGTGCTATCGGTCAGACAGTGAATTACCTAACCGATAATATTAATAATAGATATGTAAGTATATGTACATTTGGAAAGTAAAATTATATGTTTTATTTAACGTAATATCAAAATTGTCCAAATTAGTACCTTTTTCATTATTATCAGAGCCCGTAAGTTTATGCGTCTGCATGTTTTTTTTTTTGCTACACGGGAAAACATGCTAAGTGAGATACGAATCCGTTTCTTAACAAAAGTAATAATAATATGAAATTTGATAGTGCATAATATTTTTGCATGTTTTGGGTTTAAAGGTATATTTGCATATAGTCAATTTTTTACAGTCGTTAGTGCATATTATTTCATAAAAATATATTTTAGACAAATATTTGAAAAGTTTCTTGTTTCTTATTTACTTTCTCCTCTATAAAATTATATTGTTCGGATTTAAAATTAAAATGACTACCTAATTACGATTTATAAAGATGACAAAGCTATATGAACTTCATTTTATTTTTATTTTTACAAGTAATATACAATCTGTACCTATCATTAATACAATAAGAATATACGCTAAAAGTACATTCACAGGACAAATAATTTGATGAAAGGAGCCACCCATTGATGACACTTTCTATTATTCTTTTTTTTTTCTATTAAATGTATAAAAATGCATGGATTTATTCTTATGATTTTAAAATTTGCTCATGAGTTTTTTATACAATGCATAATTTAAAAGTGTTAGGGCATATAAATGCATATTTTGACAATTTTTAGTGCATGAAGTTACAAGTCCTGATATATATATAATCTATTAATTTGTCTAATATGCATTAATATGCAATATCATCAAAATATGTCAAACACAATTTTAACTAATATAATCTTCTTCTGTTATAAAACATTTATACGTCTCTCATATTGTTCTGCAACTTTTCTAGACAAATATGAAAAAACTAAAAGTCCTCAGTCCTTATGATAACTAATATCTCGACTAATGCCCCTTGGTTTGTATCTAATTCCACCCTCTACAATCTACATTAACATTAAAATCCTATCAGTTAACCAATTACCCACCAAACATTGAAACATTTAACTCTAGTTACAAACCCATTAATATAGGAAACAATATAGATATTAAAAAGATCTACTTAAATAAAATAATATTATACATGTACTTATCTTCTTTATACCTTATTAATTTTTAAATTTCCTTGGCCTGAACTTCTAAATTTTGTGATAATTTTCATTTCATAACATTAGGATTAAAATATAACAATTTATAATATTATTTACCTATATATAATTATGAACCCGCCCAGACGCCTGAAATAAAAACTGGTGTAGAAATCTACTTTTTATTAACAACTAAAATCGCACCCAGGGTTACGCCAATGTCATCTTCTCATGTCCTTTTATTTATTATTGTTTTCATTGTATCTAACTTGCTTATTGTTTTAATAAACCTTCTTTTGTAATAATAATAATAAATAAAGGTAATTATCAACAAAAAAAAAGGTTATGGTATATCACTATTATAGGTATATTATAGGTCATAATACTAATAAGTATACTTACCTAGACAGCCTTAATAGCTAAATATATTAAGGCTCTCTATACCCAAATCACCAAGTGAACACAGCCCCCAAAACTCGTCTAATGCTGCGCCTAATTCCCGCCAATTTATCAGTGCGAATGCTGCCTGTCAAATGCCATTGCTATACTGTGTAGCATTGCCGTTGTATACACGTAAGGTGGGAGAATATAGACCTCCAGACTGCGGATCACGTTCATTTGGATGTGCAAGCGACTTGCATTCTCTCTATGATTTAGGCATAGGTACTTATTGTGTATGCCAAGCATGCCCAACCCACAGGTTAAAAATATTTAATTAAAGACAAAACTTAAACATAAATGATTGAAGTTTCAATCTAGAACAATTGGCCATCCATAGATAAAGAAATTATTATTATTATCACAAAACAATTGTATTACCGGTACATATTATGACAACCCTAAATTATTTATAATGATATTAAGCTTTAAGCTTAAAGGTTAAGCGATAAATTATAAGTAATTAATAATATAAATATTGGGATAAATATACAGGTAACTACCTACCTATCTTGTATTTAAATAATCTTGAAATTCCCTTGTTACCAATTCTTTTTATAGGCTTTTCAAATGTGATTACATACATTGTTATAATTTAAAATACAAAATAATATGTAGTTCACAGTAGGTACCTACTTTATATTTTTTTGAATTAAAATATTTTAAGATTAGATTAATTATTATTCCTACCTACTATTAAAATATTTTATATTAGAATTTATGAGTATCGATATGATGTTAAACAGTTTGTATCTTGTTAGTCATTGTTATTACCTATGCATTATTCATAAAGAAACTATACTAATAATTTTTATTCTTAGACAATTTTTCAATCATATTTATGTACTTCTCTAATTTCGACCCATATTCTATACTTGAAGTTAATCCCTACTTGCTAGAATTTTGTTTTATCCACGAGCTTATGAAATTTTAATTATCAAATAAGTAGGTACTGTACACTTAAATAGTTTCACTAAATATCATTAAATTACCATGATTCATCATTAGTTTTTTTTAAATTTCTTATACAGACCGTATCTTATGTCGTAATGAATGAACCTTGAATAATTCTATAATATATTACCTTTTTTTTTTCAGGGAACCCCCCAAAGAAATATTTAAAATTCCAACTGTTGCTAATATACCAAAAAAAGCTACCCAAGTGGCCAAACCACCTACAACAGTCAATCAACTCCAGAACAATTTGAAGGCAGCCACCCTTGAAGAAAAACCTTCTACTGATCAACAAAACAATAAAAACATGGGACTAACAGATAAAAAAAATGAGTAAGTTTAACATACCTACATAATAAATAAATAAATAAATTATCATTAAATACCTAATAATGGTATGTATTTACTATTTATTATTTAAATAGAATGAAATGGACATTGGAAAATTTTGATATTGGTAAAGCATTGGGAAAAGGAAAATTTGGAAACGTGTATCTTGCCAGAGAAAAGAGTTCAGGATTTATTGTTGCTCTCAAAGTGTTATTTAAAACGCAGATTTTAAAAGCAAATGTTGAGCACCAGCTCAAAAGAGAAATTGAAATTCAAACACATCTAAGGTAAACGCTAAATTAATTAAATTAAAAAAAATATTCTGTATGTAAAGCAAATTAATTCTTATCTTTTTTTTTCAGGCATCCTAATATTGTGCGTATGTTTGGATATTTCCATGATGATGCTAGAGTATATATGATCCTAGAATATGCACCCAAACAGCTGTACAAAGAATTGCAAGCTCAAGAAAATCAACGTTTCTCTGAAGATAGGTAAATTTGATACAAGTTACCTATGTGATATTAAAATTATTAGATGTATTTGGGTCAACTATAATTATACCTATCAATAAATAATCAATTTTTTCTAACATTAAAATAATTTATTTATACTTGTCTTGAACATTTATAGAAAAATTATTAATTCAATAAAAAATTAATATGTACTACTATTGTGTTAAATAGGGCAGCATTTTATATTAAGCAATTAACAGAAGCGCTGATTTATTGCCATGATAAGAATATTATACATCGTGATATAAAACCAGAGAATCTTTTACTTACCAAAGGAGGTGACTTGAAAATTGCTGATTTTGGGTGGTCCGTACATACACGGGATTCAAAGTAATTATTGTCAAAAAGGCCACTTTGATTTCAAAGTTAACACCTTTAACCTATGTTCTATAAATTATAAATTATTTTATTTTTCAGGCGTATGACATTATGTGGAACCTTGGACTATTTGCCACCAGAAATGGTGAGTGGAAACTCTCATGACAAATCAGTTGACGTTTGGAGCATAGGTGTATTATTATATGAGATTTTAGTTGGCAAACCACCTTTTGAAGCTTCGACATATGAAGAAACGTATAGAAGGATATTAAATGCTCAATATATTTTCCCACCACATGTTGCTCCACTGGCTCGAGATCTCATATCACGTGTAAGTACTTTTAAACATAATTTTTCAATCCCTATATTATATGTGGATTTATTTCATATATCATAATACAATTATATAATTAATTCCTGTTGTTTAGTTATTAAGAGTGAAACCAGAGACTCGTTTACCTCTCAAAGATCTGTTACTACATGACTGGATAAAAATACACACAAACCTCTAAAAGTAACAAATAGTTTTAAGATGTCAATTTTATGAAATATATTTTGTATGCAATTATTTAAAAAAATTTAACTAGACTTCTTTAATAAATTTAATTTCTCTATTATTTTTGTTATTGCAGTATTTTAAAAAGTGTAATTAAAGAAAATAATTGTACTGTTAAGACTTAGCATTAATGACATTTTTTTGTTCTCCTTTAAAAGCTCCTAAGTCTTAATTTGATAGTAATTTTATTATACTTAAAGAAATGAATTGTCTCATATTTTATTTGAACTATCATTATATTTTACTACTCTTATATTATATAGTATATGCTAAGGAAAATTAAAGTTTGCAATAGTTCTTTAGTTATTAATGCAGGTATAAAAAATAAATGTTGTATACTTAATTGTAATTTCATTTTTACATTAGTGAAGTTGATATATTTCCTTTCTGTGTAAAAATATGTCCACACTAAACTGTGATTTATAATATATACCTATTCATTAAAAAATATAATTTTAATGTGTACATACTAATAGTATATTATTTTTGACATTCTGTAGTTTGTAACATGTTCTAAATCAAAATAATTTTATGATGGATGCTAATAAAATAAATACTGAATTATGTTTTTTTTTATGTTTTATTTGTAAAAATCATAACTTAAATAATTTAATATTACATAATATAGGTATTTTTAGTATATCCATGTTTGGTTGAAATGTTCAAACTCCATACTTTCCATTTCCCTTCCACATATCAAGACTTATGCTTTAGGGAAGAAATTTATCTAAATGGTAAATATATATATTTTAAATACAAGTACATATCATAAACATACATAACATACTATATTTTTTCGAAATTTAAAACAAGAAACTCACTTTTTCTCCGTTTTTAACGAAGCAGTTTCTGATTACTCGTCCAGCTACGCATTTTTCAGTGGTTTTCGGATCGATAACAGCTGTAAGAATAAAACCCGATTATCATCCGAAACTACATTTGTATAATATTTTCCTTTCTCGACAGTCCCGAGTTTTCAATATAAAACTTATCGAGACAGTCGCGAACCCACCTTCTTTTTCACAAGTTTCTATTATGGTTACTGCCTTCTTGTGCTCTTCCGGTTGGTTTGCGAAACGTATTCTAGCCATCGCCTTGCCGTCTTCTACACTGAACTTGTTATTCTTGATCAAATTAAGATTTTTGTACACACACTCTAAGTAGCACCTTTGTTGCTCGTTCTGCGGTACCACCGTGTTGCTGACCAGTGCCATGATCTCTTGGGGCGCGTGCAGCTCATCCTTGCACTTCACCGCAATTGTGTTCAACTTCTGTTTCAGAGCCACGTGTCCTTCGGTCATCTGTGTAAACGAATATAACGTGTAAGTAAATGGAATATCATCGTGTAGCTGCGGGGAACATAGAATAAATCAGCCTATTTAACAGCTTTCGTAACAGAAAGTTTAAATTAGGTAGGTAATAATTAATTAAATTTTGAGAATTTTTCCTAAGCCATTTTTTAGATAAAATTAATAATTTCCGTTAGTTAAAACTTTTTACACACATTTACTGAATTATTGTATAGTTTTCATCTTTTAAATATTTTATATGTTCTGTACGCGCATGTAGTTAATTAATAATTAGATAAGTTTTCAAATTTTAAATATTAAATATTTTACACTTGCAATTAAGTAGATATTTTTATTTGTATGATTCTTATGAGTAGTACATTTTGTACTTGAATAGTCCTGCGTTGTGGTGATTTTTCCTTATGGTTTATAACAGCGGTTCTCAACCTTTTTATATCCGCGTACCACCTACATAGTTTGAACATTTTCATGTATTACTTGATCAAATAACGTTTATTTTTTTGCTTATCAAAAATGAGTACCTACGTTATTTTACATGTATGGAATTAATTTTATTAGGAACTACAAAATTATGATAATATAAGCATTTAATGCATACAAATAAAATGAAATATGTACAATTGTTATTTATATTATTATTAATACCAAATAATATTTATTGGGATAATTATCCATTCCATTTTTTTTTTATAAAGGGAGATTTTCTAAGTGTATACCACAGGTTGTGAAACGTTGATTTATAATTTAAAAAATAATTTCTGTTGCCGTTAATAAAAATAAAGTAATTTTTTATTCACTCCACATTTATCGCTTACTACCTATTTATTAGTAAACTATTGAAAAACGAAATTATGAAATTCAGTTTTAAGGGTACTTGTAAGACATTCGGGGATAGCCATAGCCGACCCATCCTCGTCTAACCGTTGCAGAATTAGCTGTATAATTTAGCCCAACGTTTTTAAATAGTTCAATACAAGTTACCTACTGCAACTGTTTATATTATTATTGCATACGTATCTACGTTTAGTTTCGAATATGTCACCCGCTAGTCCCTATTGCAGTCGGTAGGGTATTAAATATTTAAACGTCAGTGCCAAAAGGAAAAACAAAATATGGTGTGCTCTCATTTATACCAAATCATCTTTTTTTGGAGGGTTGGCCGGTTGGGGTTGATTCGGTTTTAACTTAAATAATAATTTGAAACGACTTAATATACTGTAGGTTTGGGCGTGGTGGAGTTTCCGGTCACTCCGGCGGAAGACTTGATGACGGCCGGCCGCTCAGTGCCGTTGACGGACGCTCCGCTGGCTGTCGTGACCGTGGCATTGGCACCGGACTTGATGGTGGTCGAACCGTGCACGTGATCCTTGGCGTACGTGGTCTGTGGATGGCTGGTCGGGGTGGAAGATGACTGAACCGGCAGGTGAGTGGGTGTAACGGCCATTGGCGGCTTCGTCGTGCCACTCTTGTAGCAAGTAGATATGTTACATGGGTCCGAGCTCTGAGTAAAAAACACAGAGTTGAAATTATCATATTTTACTATTTCGTAGTTATGCAGATTTTTAGAGCAAACGGTCTTAATCTTATTGTAATTGTATTATATTATATTATTCGACCCGTATAATATTATGTGAACGTTTCCAACACGATGTAGATATAAAATCTATTAATCTAAAATGTAATTGTGGTTTTAAAAAAAAAACCGACAAGTAGGACGTATTTTCTATACTGCAGCCTGCAGCTTGAGTATAGGCACTGTAATAGATCTGCATATTCTGCAAGTGTTAAATTTGAACTCAAAGATAATTGATAAACCATTGTTTACGTTAAAAAACTGACTAACTAAACTTAGTGTTGACGAAGTAAAGAAGGTCTACATTTTTGGTTACCAAAGAATTTGTTTAGTAATAACTAATAATATTTAAAGTTTGTATTCTCAACACTCCAACGTTTTTAAAATGTTCTGACAATTTTCAATCTTAACCTCCCAAAAGTACCAACTAGGTAGTTCCAATTTTCTACCAGGAACCTCCCTCCAACTTCATCTATACGGCTATTATAGTGCTATACACGTGTGTATAATAAAATACCTAGCCTTCATAATATTACGGTGACCCCTAGGTTGAGACTAGACTAGGTACTTAAGAATCAGCATTCAACAGAGTCACTGTAATAATGTAATATAGACCCATAGAAGCTGGTTCATGTCCCTATACGATATACCTACGAATATTAATTACAAGATATAATAGATTCCCGACTTATATTTAAGAAACAGTATTAAATAGTTAGTATTCGAATGCACTTAACGAAGATACCCAACTGATATTTGAGGCGTCCTGTCATAACAAATTGGATTTTGGAAAGCATCCATTATTTAGTGTAGTTGCTATACGAATTCTATGTTACCCTTGTTCTAAACGTATTATAGACTCATAGATTTTAGTTTGTTTTTTTTTTTTTTTAATCATTATTTAAAGACTTATTTTATTTATCAGTTGTAGATTTTAATATACCAAACCCTGCAGGAACCTATATAGATGAGCCAACGGAAAAGCTTCATATGGAAATTCAAGTCCGGAACAAAACTTCGATGCGACTGGAGGTACATTATGTAAGTAATAATAACCAACTACCCTGCTATATTAACCATTAACGGTACCTATTTATAATTATATGTATACGTGGTATTGAATTGGTTTTTACCTGCACGGTGGCGACCAGAGCGACCAGGACGGCGGTCGCTGCAGATACCTTCATAATGTCGACGAATGTACTAGGTATGCACGAAGAGCTGATCTCGCACGACGCCGATGATATCTAGGTATTGCACTGTTCGGTGTAATAATTAATGAAATTTAAGTTTGCCCGCGTGTATCCCTTATAATTATTAACTCTAAAGAGCGACAAACGGTAATATATTGACTTCTGTGGTCTTCGCGCTGCAGTATAAATAGTCACCTGGTACGACGATCGACGAGTGTATTCGACTGACGCCCGGCCGCGGTCTCCGAGGTCTTTTATACGCACCTGGTGCCTTTGTCGCGGGGTTATGATTATGACCTCTGTGCACATTAAATAGCAATGAAACGCAATGTCTCTGCGGAGATCAAATTGACGCGAGGACGTCGATTTTTTTTCCATTTTCCCCCCCGAACGCGTTTTACATAAGTGACGCGTCCTGTTTGCGCGGTGCACATGAGAATTGAAGAATTAAATTGGCACGCCGCATACAATCCGCCGCCGTTCCCAAACAATAATATTATATATAGTCGTGATTTAAATTGGAGTACAAACCTATAGCGACGGCGATACAAAATTGTGTATATTATTACACGTATTCGCTCGAGTTATAATAATAATAATAATAGATATTGTTGTTATGTGTATATTATATATATAATATATATATATATATTTTTAAATAAGTAAACAGTGTCTACATAGACACTGCACTCATCGTCCCGAGAAAAACGAAATACATTTCCGTGTCGACGTTTTTAAAGTGGACAATAATAACAATAAAGGAATGTATATATAATAATATATATAATGAATACACCTATATATATTATATATATACATAAACATGTGTGATACTCAGTGTTGTAAAGTATTTAAATAAAAGTATTCCAATCCTTTTTCCGAATTGAATACTTTTTTAAATACTTTTTTTAGATTCTGAGTGGAGCGATGGATATATTGATTTTAAAAAGATGTGTTTTTTTTTAATTTTTTTTTTTTGTGTGTCTGTACACGATAAGTAGTCTATAAAATGCTTCGATTTTTCAACTTCAGTATATCTTGTTTGATAGGAAAGTTAATCTAGTTGGTGCATTGAGGAAGTCAACATTTCATATTTCCAGTAGTTTTCAAAAGCGCCGAGAAAAACAAAAAAAAAAAATTAAGGAAAACCGGGATTTTTACGCAACATTGGTTTTTGTTTTTAGTGCAACTCTTGAACAACATATACATATCATACATGAAATTTCAAATTTCCTCTGTTTGTTTATACTAACATTTTCTATAAACGATAACATTTTCAAAATATTTTGATTTAACTTGAACTGTTTACATTTTCAGTTAAAAAAAATTTTAGTTTTTTTTTTATGAATGTCAGTAAAATTTTATTTGTTGAGTAAAAAAGCTTGACATTTTAATACAAGGCTATTGATATATTGTTATAATGACATTTGAAAAATATTAAAAATACCTTGTCACAATTTTTTTAATAACATTTAAAAGTTCAAATCTTGAGAAAACACGTAAAAATCACTAAAATGTGCTATCTATTTTGTGTTAGAAATTCATAAAAAATTTTCTTTTTAAATCTAAGATTTGTAATACAATATTCCTCAAAAAAAAAAAAAATTTTACAAAGAAGTCAAATTACATTTTTATGAGCTTCTGAAGCTCATATTTTTACAAGATTGGATATTCACTCGATTTCTCGTGTAGGTAGCGATTTTCTTATTTTGTGTAATTCAAAAACTAATAACCTTATAGACACTTGAAATTTATATCACGTTTATTTTATCAATTCCTATACTTGATAACATTTTCTCATTTTCAAAATATTTTGACTTGTTTTGAGCTGTTTTCGCGGACAATTTCAATTTTAGATTCTGAGTGGAACGATGAATGTATTGATTTTACCAAGGCTGGGCATTAACGAGTTAAAAGTTAAAATTAAGTTAAAACGTTAAGTTAATTTTAATTAAGTTAATTAACTCGTTACTTTTTTTACAAATTAACTTTTAACTTAATAAGTTACTTTTTTTTTAAGATTAACGTGTTAACTTTAAGTTAATTTTATTTAAAATTATCTAAATTAAGTTAATTTTAGTGCAAAGAAAAATGCAAATTATTAATGAGGTTTTTAGTATATTTTATGATTTACTATTTAAATATGAATTTCCTGTAGACGAAAATAATATGAAAAATAACTTTAATAGTCATTATATGGGCTATATAATATCTACCTACACGTTTATCATTATAAATTGTATTAATAATATTTTCAAAGATAGGTTATACAGATTATCGTTTAAATGGGTTCCCTGAAGTGGATGTCGAATGTTGTCGTGAACGTAATAATATAGTACAAAGTAATTATATTTTTACTGATAATAATTGTTCATGTTGTGCTGAGGCTGCTGAGCCTAGGTTTTAAAACTACACGGTGGCTGCATTTTGTCCTCAGTATAGAAAATATATTTGGGTGGTAGGTACTGCCTGTTTGATTTTTAAAATTTATGTGAATCAATTAAAAATATTGGTATCTTGGCAGTTGGGAGAAAACTATTAAGGTGTTTTTTTTTTTTTTTTTTTGATGTACCACTTGGGTAAATTGATTTGAGTATGAGTTCAGGACTAAGATTTATTTTGGAAAAGTCGGTTTTTTGATAGCTAATTAATACTTTTATGTCTCATTTAAAAAATTTCCCTAGTATTTTTCTTGAGTGTGAAAAAACTAATATTATGTGTGCAATTTTTTATTTTTGCAAAATAGAAAATTTTAACTTTAAACTAAGTTAAGTTACTTTTTTTTCAAAGTTAACTTTTAACTTAACGAGTTAACGTAAAAAATATGATTAACTTTTAATTTAACTTAACTTTATTATTTTAAAATAACTTAACTTAACGAGTTAAAAAAAATCGTTAACTTGCCCAGCCTTGGATTTTACAATGATGTGTGCTTTTGTTTCGTGTGTGAGTACACGATTAGTAGTCGAAATAATGCTTCGATTTTCCACTTCATCTTGTTTGATGGGAAAGTGAATCTAGTTGGTACTTTTGGGAGGTCAAAATTTAAAATTCCCAATAGTTTTCAAAAGCGCCCGGAAATAAAACAAAATAAAAATTAAGGAAAAACGAATTACGCAAAATCTGTTTTTGACAAAATCGATTTTGGCTTTTGGTGTAACTTTAAAACAAATGACAGTATAGAAACATGAAATTTTTACTGGTTGTTTATATTTGCATTTCCTATACACGATACAATTTTCAAAATATTTTCATTTATTTTGAACTGTTTAGGGACTTTTTCAGTTTCCAATTTTATTAGTTTTTTTTTCTATGAATGTGAATAAAACTTTATTTATTGAGTAAAAATACTTTAAAATTTAATACAAGGCTCCTACTATAAGGTTACATTGAAATTTTAAAAATATTAAAAATCCTTAGTCACGGTTTTTTTTATAAGCATTTAGAGTTTTTCTTTTTAATTCTAAGATATGAAAATTTAATAAAAGATTCCTTATAAGTTTGTCTACTTTTATCAAAAAAAAAATGTCCTTAAGAAAATCAAATTACATTTTTATGAGCTTTTGAAATTCAAATTTTTACAACATTGGATATTCACTCGATTTCTCATGTAGCGATTTTCTTATTTTGTTGTAACTCAAAAACGAATAACTGTAGATATATGAAAATTTCACTGAATCAATGATTTTATCAATTCTTATACATGAACAAATTTTCAAAATATTTTGACTTGTTTTGAGCTGTTTACAGACAATTTCATATTTAAAATTTTTTTTTTTTTTCTATGAATATCAATAAAGTTTTATTTGTTGGGCCAAAAAGTGTAAACAATTAATACAAGGCTCCTGATATATTGTTACAATAGCAGTTGAAAATAGTAAAAAAATAAACAGGCACAATTATTTTTTATAAGCATTTAAATATCGAATTTTGACAAAATGTATCAAATTTAAAATTGAATAATTATTTTGTATAGTTAAAAACGTATAAAATGCCCACCTTTTTTATTATTTAATACTATTTTATTGGATACTTTTTTTTATTTAAATAAAAATACCTTGCCCTCGAGCGTCGTGGTTATCCTTCAGTATTTTTTATTTACCTATTTATCATTTATGGACAATTCTATATCGGTTTTCGATAGTTAATTAGTAGCTTATTATTTATTAAGTCGATAACAAAATATTTACTATGCAATATAAGCTTTTGCTTGACAGCTATTATACTTCATAATTTAACAATACGAAAATATTACTACTAATTATTAGTACTATACCTATTTACCAAGAAAATGGTTATAAATACTATTATTATCGTTTATTGTGGACGTCGATCGAGGACAGTCAGTGACGTATTTAAGGGGGGGTCCATGGGGTCCGGACCCCTCCCGTTGACTCGAGTCTCGTACATGTTAAATTTTGGGTTTTTACATGATTAAGAAAAATAAATTTTATCATACAATACGAAGGATTTTGTTAAAACTTTTCGTCGCTTCAATTGTCAACATTTTCAATTGATATCGTGTTTTTTTTGTTATAAATTTACATTGCCAGTATCACATTGTGATTTTGCACAGTATTTACATTACTACAGCAAATACCAAAATCCCCCGTTTGACCCAAGGTTTATAGATAATATTATCTATAAACCTTGCGTTTGACCAACTCCCCGGGGAGAGGAAAAATACTTGACGACCTATTTTCGTACCTACCAAATGTCCAAAAAAAAATTTACCCGAATCGGTCGAGCCGTTTTGGAGGAGTTCGTACACTAACACTGTGACACGAGATTTTTATATATTAGATGATTAAAAACTCAACAATTTTACATGGACATATGAGCTCCCCACGGCTCTGTGTTTTAAAAATGATCTGGACCCTCCCCATGACGAATTCCTAAATATGCCACTGATGACAGTATATGGGATATCCAAATACATATATAGCTTTAAACTAATATATAACTCTCTGTAAAAAAAAAATTCATTGTTGTGGTGCAACTATCACTAATAAAGAACAACATAATACGCACTAATACATGACTGGTCAGCATTTTGGATATTAAACGAATCGTGTTTTTAAAATGCAAATAAACACATTTTTAACTATAACAAATTATATCTATCAGAACTAAATTATATTTACAACAGTGAATAGTGATTACTAAAAAATGTTTTGACTTAGTTTTTAAACTTTTGGAGAACCTATGATACTTGGTGAGCTGTATTCAGTATATAGGGTACTTATACCTTCTCTAAACACTTTTAAACATTTTTAAACCAAAAATACGTTTCACAAATCTGTGTAATTACTAATTGTATGAGTTTAGTAAGTATAGGTATTTATAGATACTATAAATTCTAATAGTCGCACTACACACAATATTATAATAAATTATATATTTTATGTAAAACCACAATTCTTAGTACCTACGTAGGTATTGGTACACACAGTACACTTACATAAATCATTAACAAGTCGTTCGAATATTGATTTAGACTAACCTAACCTACATCATCAAAATTTTCACAATAATCATCTACTTAGCAATTTACATTAAGAAAAGGTTCTCATATTAAAAAAAAAAGTTTATATCAATGGTATATAAAATCTAAGTAGCCATTTAAAAATATGATCCTTATAAGCAGTTATGCGTAGATAATTTCAAATATCAGAATTTTAATAAAATTCACTATTAAAAGAATAAATGGGGGTAAAAATGTAAAATGCTTGATGAATTACAGTAATCACTAATCACCCTGTATCAGGCGCCGGTTGTCGTTTGCGCATCACTATTGTTATTTTTGACCTTTTTTGTAAGACAGTTGCGCATCGTTTGATTTTTGGGTTATACATCGTTTGAGCATCGACCGTTTAAAAGGTTGTACATCATTTGCGCATTAATATTATTTAATAATAGAACTGAAAAAAGGTGTATACCCAAAAGCGTTGTTTTCTAACTTTGATCATAAAATTCAATCCTAAATGAACTGAACACAATTTAGTTGAATTCATTTTTACTCAAACTACCTATATGTTATATGTATATTTTTTACTATAACTATGACCATGTAATGTGCCCAATTAAACTGAGTATTACATTTTTAACTACAAAATAATTTGCAAATTTTTGAGCTTTTGATAAATGTTGTCAACATTTGAACTTTAAATGCTTATTGAACAAAAACTTGTGCCAATATATATTAAATTGTTCATTATCTATATAATATTATATGTGTGTACAATTATTATTATACCTTTCTATTGTTCAGAATTTTGATGCGCATATGATGTACGGCCGTATCAGGGCAGGGCAAGAGGTATGGGCCAGAGGTGCAAATTTCAATACTAGGTACTTATGTCCCATATAATAAATTTGCCACGTAATACATTTATTTTAACAACTTCCTATTATAGGTATTATGATTATTATTAGTTTAAGGGGATTGGAAGCGGCGATTTTCTGTCTTTATCTAACACACGTGGAACATAGGATTATAGACGTGTTCTATGTCCAACGTACCGATTAATCTAATGAAGCGATAAGAATTCTGAAAACAGATTTGAATTTGTCGTCAAGTCTACTTGAGATCGACTTTCCCACATTTTTGATTTTTTGATTTAAACTTCTCCAAAAGTTGAAATTTGTAAATTTTTTAAGTACTTTTTATAATATATCATTTTTATGATTTTGGTGGGACAATATCAAAAATGTGGGAAAGTCGATCTCAAGTAGACTTGACGACAAATTCAAATCTGTTTTCGGAATTCTTATCGCTTCATTAGATTAATCGGTACGTTGGACATAGAACACGTCTATAATCCTATGTTCCACGTGTGTTAGATAAAGACAGAAAATCGCCGCTTCCAATCCCCTTAAGGTCCCCACACACTGCAGCGGTGGCGGTGACGATAGAGTTCAATTCTATTGTCTTGGCTTTACCGCCGCCGCCGCGGTGAAATGTGTCCTGCAGCAATTCACCGCCACCGCCGCCACTGCAGTGCAGTGGCGTAGAAAGACTCGTTAGCGCCCCTGGCAAACCTAGGAAAATGCGCCTTTTTAGCGATTAAAAAATTGACGAAAATACGGAATGATATTTTTTAACATTTATTTTTTAGATATATAATTAGGTAATACAATATAATTTAACTATCAGTTATTATGATAATGTAAATTTCAAACTTTAAAAATTTTCTTTTCTTGCTTTAAGGCTAGAGAATTCATTGATGATTTCGTCATATGAAATTTGTTTAGCAAATTCATGTTCTATGGATAAAATTGCCATGCTTGTTATGGCCAGATTTATAGATGATACTTAGAAAAATCTTAGTATTATCTCAACTAAAACTAGAAATTGGTATTTATAAATCAGACTTATGATATTTACTAAGAATTATCTTAGTTATATTTTAACTTAAATAAATCCTAAGTTTTGGTATTTATAAATGGTACTTTGAAAAATTTTAAGAAAAATTTGAGTAAAAATTAAGAAATATCTAAGGTACCTACTAACCATGCTTAACAGTCACTCAACAGACACAAAATTAATAACTTGGTATAAAATAGTTACTTTTATACTATTAAATTGTTGTTCGATCTTTTATAAAAAGTTGATAATTTTATTTAATTTATTTTTTACTATTTTAAAATGGATATTAATTATCTTGATGATGACTTAAACTATGATTGGCTAGAACAAACTATTCGTGTTCCTAAACGATATTTACGTGATATGCAAAACTCCATTTGAAGGGTAAGTAATTTTGAAATATTTTTTAATAATTCCCCTTTACAAATATTTATTAGTAAACATTACTAGATTTTCAGATTTGCAATTTTTCCAACGGTTTAGGTTTCCAAAATATATTGTGTTAGAAATAATTTTACCTATGATATAGGTACTTGGATAATATGGATTGCAATTTTGATAGACGTGGGTTAAAAATCGATAATATTACAAAAGTGTTAATTGCCCTACGTTTCTATGCAAGTGGAAATGACCAAGTATTTGAATGCAATTTAAATGAGTAATTATGGTAAGATTATTGTTAATTTAATTTTATTGTTTTATAGAGAGTCAATGGAGACACATTAGGATATTCACAAGCTTCGGTTTCTATTGTAGTTAAAGAAGTATCGGGATTACAAGCTAAATGTGGAAAAAAATGGATTCGATTTCCATCAAATTTACAAGACACTAAGGAACAATTTTATTTAATTGGTGAATTTCCTGGTGTAATTGGAGCTATAGATTGTACACATGTCCCTATTAAAAGTCCCGGAGGCAACAACGCAGAAATGTATTGAAATCAAAAAGGATGGATGCCATTAAATGTTCAAATTGTTTGTGGTCCTAAAATGCAAATTTTTGACATAGTCTGCAGATGGCCCGGTTCAAACTAATGTAATTAATAAGAAATCGTATTAGCAATATTTGATATTATTATCACAGATAAGTCAGCTAATCTGTGGCAATAAAATATTAATTATGCTGATAACAATAAAATTATATATAATCTCCTGAACATTTTGCTTTTAAGAAATATTTTTACTTGAAATATTCTTAGAAAAATCTTAGCTAAGAAATAACTTAGTACCCTTTATAAATACCACTTGTGAGTTAGTGAAAAATATTTACTTAGCAAAGTTGAATATAAGTAAAATCTTAGTATCGTCTATAAATTTGGCCATTAGTCTCTCTTGTCCAATAGTTGATCTTAAGTAATTTTTTATTAGTTTAAGTTTACTAAAACTTCTTTCGCAACTAGCAGTTGTTACTGGAATAGTGAGATATATTCTTAACGCTATTTCTATGTTAGGATAAATATCTTGCAAGTTTTGTTTATGAATACATTTTAATAAATCAATCGGTGCCATATCAATCAATACAATTACCTGCATCGTACTATGCATTGTAATACGCACTATCTTCACTTTTAAAAATAAGATTATTGATATATAGACGACAAATAATATAATATATATATACTACTTATTATTACTTATTATATCTACTTTATAGACGGGCCACGGGCGATCCGATAACGATAAGCTCGATGTTCAGTGTTCACACACACACACATGAAACACGAATTATTTAAAGATGAACAAGATAAACAAAATCATACACATTTCAAAATGTATAGTCGAATAGGTAATAAACAAATGTCGTTTTGAAGGTAGAATAAAAATAAGTACCAATTTAAAAGCACAAATTTGCGCCCCTTCATAATTTGCGACCCTGGCGTAGGCACAGTTCGCCATACCCTTCCTACGCTTCTAGTGCAGTGTGTAAGTTATAACTATATGTTAAATGTTTATATTATAATATATAAGATCACTGATCAGTTGACAAACGTTGTTTTAATTTAGGAAAACCTTTTAGATTATTTTCAGCTGATCGAGTATTATATATATATATATATATATTATTTTGTCCTATAATAATGTCTGCATTCTGTATATAAATTAATCAACAAAGTCTGACCGTAGTTTTTCTAGGATTTTCACTTTGGTATAAATACAATATAGTATAATATACTTACTAAATATTATACTATAAATGTACGTCCTGTACATTTATAGTAGAATACGGTTATGGAGTTAGTGGTTCACTGCCTTCCACTGTAATAATTATACACTTAGTCTAGTCGCATGTGGAGTATGCATACCTAATTATAGTTTGATGCGTGGAAAACGGAAGCCCAAATTACTTCCGGTATAGAATTTGTGAACGACTATGTGTTACACATTAAACTTATATTTTATTGGTTTTTTTTTGTGAATTTTATTTCAACTTCAGTAACAGGTGTTTGCTGGAGCGCCCCTCTCATCGCAGCTTCCTTCAGCAGTTGCCACTTGCCGGACCCATGAACTATATAGTTGGAAGTCGTTTGGGCTTCCGGTAAACGATTTAATCACACCAATGTTTTAATTTACATACGAGTAAATCTTTGTTTTATTTTATTCTGAGGTATTACGATTATTGACTGTTGTACTTATCGAACATTGTGAAAAAGGGGCCTACTCTCTTCAATTTTCGGAGTGGAGTCAGATGATTGAAACAAAGAAGAATATATAAATTTATCCATATGGTTTTGAGTACATCATGTCAGTAGTGTGAACAAACTATCAAAACCTTTCAAATGTATTAATTTGACGGAAATATAGACATTTTAAAACCTACTCAATGACGAGGTACACTCGATACCTCCAGAAAAATATTTCATCTTATTGAGTAAAAAGACAAACTACAATCTATACAACAAATATGCACATTATTTTTTCATCTTAAAAATGTTAATTATAGCATAATAAATGCCTTTTAGTTATTACCTACTAATTTTCCTGGGATTTTCTTGAATTTGTTAATCATTTAAATTATAAGATAAACTCAATTAATTCCAGAAATAAATCAATATATTATCTCTCTTCTGTTAAATCCAAAACTAAATCATGTATTTTTGTAGTATATGTTATACTTTCCTCCAAGTGAAAATATTTTTAATTAGGTACTAATTATAGGTACCTATATATATTATAGTATATAGTGGTACAATTTTTGTTTTAGGGTAAAAAAGCTTGAATAAATAAAAATAGATGTGGAAAAAGTTTTCATATAGGAACGATAATTTAATAAAACTTGATATTTTGTCAGTTGCACAAAAAAAAGTATATATTATAAATACCTTAATTGATGTTTTTTGTGGGGAGGGGGACACAAATTCAAATATTTGTGGATTCACCAGGGGCACCACCCACATACGACCCTGCCCTGTATGAAGGTAATTTAATATAATAATAAACCTAATATTAGTTTATAAGATCTACCCCCATTGGCGCAAATAGTGGAGGGGCTTAGTGGTCATCAATATTTAAATACTGCAGTTAACGATTTTTTTTAAGCTCAAATAGGTTCATTGAACCTGGTTAAACCTAATAATTGTGTCATTAATTTATCCGTTATTATTACAACAATACGACTCGGTGCCTAATATTACATTATACATTTATATAACAGTAATAACGTCAATTGTCATTATAATCATAGGTACCTATATACTCATCCAGTTCATTTAGTTTTTCAGTTATTAAAAAAAAAAAATTTTATTTTAACACAATTAATAATTGAATCGTGTTATAAACACGATTATTATTGATTAAAACAACCTATTAGGTACTGGTGGTCAGGAATTTATTGCTTCTTATATACCTACGTAGTAGTGAGTAAAAAAACGCTGGGTTTTCCTACAAACGTATTCCCATGAAAAACACATTAAATCTGCAGCACAACCCACAACCGTGACCGGATTTATGAAACTACTCGCACAATCCACATCATGAGTTGTTAAGTACTTGTTTTGCATATTATTTTTATGCGTGTATTTAATATTAATTTTCCGTATATAGCTGTCAAATATAGTCTATAGGTACCTAATGTAATAATATAATAGTTCTACAACCAAAATCAATAACTTTCGTATATAGATTGTAAAAGTACACAGCTTACCACTTAGCTCCAATAATATGTGCAATATAAGTATAACCCCTTTGCAAGTAGTAAGCAAGTATCTATAAAGCGGAAAGAGGGTTGGATACCTTTGTGGGTGTGACCTTTTTACACCCTACACCATAATGTTGTAATGATAAATTTTAACATAATACTTCTAAATTTATACCAGTTAATTTGAACCTCCTACCCTGACTTTTTTCTATTACATTATTTTTGCGTTCAACAATTTTAGATTCTGAGCGTTAGTTTTTTTTTTGTTTCCGCAGACACTTTATATTAGGTAATTATTATTACTGAAATTTTCTCCAAATGTTAATATTATTACTTCCTACACACGATAAAATTTTTTTAATATTTTGACTCTTTTAAAGCTATTTTAGAATTTTTTGCTCTCTAAAAATGCTTAAAAAGGTATAGAAAGTCCCTCATAACTTTTTATCACTAGAATTAAAAAAAATAATTGATAGTTACCTATTACACAAATATTTTTTAGGAGCATCTGTAGGTAGTTAGAATTTTGTCAATTCTGGTCAAAACCACTACAAATGACAAACTATTTAGTAGTTAAAAATGTATTAAATGTTCAATTATTTCTAAGTCATGTACATTTAATACAAGATTCATCATAAGTACCTAGTAAATATCGGAACTAAAACATTTAAAAACATATAATATACGGTGTTTCCGAATTGCGGACAAAGTGACGAAAACCATGTGAGTTGCGGACGAAATCTAAAAAGGTAACATACGAATTGCGGACACAAATATAAGATACTTATTGCGGATAATGTTACAATATTCACGTGGTGAAATCAGTAGAATATCATATATTATACAGGCTGTTTTAAAAACCATGACGATAATCTATAAATATTTTATAAACAATTTTTTCCACAAAATTAAAACAATTGATAATTCAACAACATTTTAAAAATAACGATTTGCAAGACACAAATATTTCTACCAATTTTTTTTTTAGCTATTGTCACAAGTCCTGAAAAAGTGGTGAAGGGAAATATTTGTGTCCACAATACTAACGTAATTTTTATTAAAAAAAAAAAGCTCTGTACGCAATTAGTATCATGACAATACGAAACTCGTGTCCGCAATTGTTATATTATAATTCCTAACCTGAATAATTCGTTCGCAACTAGTATGTGTCCATAATATAGTACCCATATAAAAGTACCTATATAATATAAAACCCGGTCCAAAAATGTCTCTGTTAGCTAATTCAAAATTAATATAATTATCCCTCAATTGTTGTCTATTGATACGTATATAATTTTAATATTTTAAATCAAGTCACAGATAAATATCTGCACAAAAATTAGTCTATTCGATTTTATAGAATTTTAACATCTTATTAATTTTACCAACACAAAAGTGATTTTATTTTAAATCGTAGTTAATATTATTTATTATAATATTATGTACCTATTTTTATTTTTTATTATTAGAATTTTAACATTTTTGATATTTTTTTGTTTCTATTGTATATTCTATATTATCTACTTATATGATATATACTTTGTAAAATTCTAATTATTTATATTTTTACTGGCAAAAAACATTTTTAACCATAGTACCTCGATACCTGTGACAAATAATAGATTATAGACAGTCCTAATAGGGGACAAGTTTATTAAAACATGAAGGAAAACGTTAATTTCGTGTAGTACTGACCAATAAAAATTTGGGAACCAACTAGTGTGATACCGAAAATAATGTGGGACTCAAGTATAATAGGTAAGTACCTAAAAGAATTCGGCACCCAGCTGGCAACTGGTGTATA